TGTCCTTTTTTCTGTTGTGCAAATAAATGAAGAAAAAAAACAACAACCTCCAAGATCATTTCTCTCATTAAATTTCAGAACATCTGGCGAGAGGCCCAGCAGCACTCATGAGCTGGAAAAGTACTGAGCATGTCCACAGAGAAAGACAGGACTTTGAGAGGATGACTCATTGTAAACAAGATGGGAGGCATGTTCCCTCGTCAGCCTGTGGAACATCAGCAATGTCACCATGCGCTGTTGGCGGTAAACTAGCCATGGTTAGTGTTTGTAGTCTGATCGGAGCCACGGAACGCAGTGTTGCATGCCACAGGCCCCAGTGAATTCATGGAAGATGCCCTCTGAATATTAATAACAGAGAAAGCATTGCCTGCAGTTTCCCCTCTCATTCATGTCTTCCTCTGTTCAAATACAATCCAGAAACAACAGGCAGGAGTTGACTTCTAGGGTGAAATAATGCTGCTTATTGTAGACAAGTTGCAAACTAAACAAGTCGAACTGCGTGATGAAATCCACAGATAAACTCTTCTTCATCACTAGTGGTCGGGCGTCTTTTGAGGTCACAGGTTTGTGTCTGGGAAATAATGTTACAGTTGATGTTTAATGTTGCACAGCACAGAAACCTTAGACTTGGCAACCTGGCCAGCACTGCAAGCCAAAGCTTTATCTGCAGGCCGTGAGATCGTCTTGCTAACCGACTCCAGCTTTAAGACTCATGTTCATTTATTACATGTAGTCATCGTAAATCAAGCATTACGGCTCTGTAGCTTCTCAAGTTTTCCATCTGCCATGTGTTTTAGCTCTGTGTATTACTGTGTTATATATTACCACTCCTGGCGGAAATGTACATGTTTGTGTGTTAGCTAAACTTAAGTCGTAGTGCAGATTGTTAAATTATTTGAACAAATATAAAACAGGAACCTCTGCTCAGTTTATGTTCCTCACATTTCTTCAGTTTGGCCTGAGATCTCCTACTGTCAGCCCAGAGGAAACAGATTTCACACACACATCTGCTAATGGTGGGGTGAGACTGTTTGTTTATTTTGTGTGTCTGTGAGTGAGCGAGTGAGTGACTGAGTGACTGACTGACCGACTCAGCAGGGGGTTGTGTGGCGATGGATATGTATGTATGTGTTGGCCAACACAATGAGGACTAAACTGGTATCATTACCAGTCACATGTGCGTCCGAGTGAGGGGGGGACAACTGCAGAAGATCTGTGACTGTTTTCACAGGTCGGGGGATGAGGTGTCACACTGCAGGGAGCAATCCACACAGATATGTTTAAACCAGAGTTATGGTGTCTGGTGGAAACTTTAAAAGGTGACTGATCTGAGGGAGAATGAATTCCACAGGAAATTGCTGCAGGGTTAGATTAATCCAGAATGGTTATAAATGTTGAAAAGTCACAATGAAGTATTCGTCTTCTTAGCCGAGAACGAGATAAAGAGGGAGGAAAGTAACAACCATTTAAACAAAGCTGTCAGCAGACGACACTGCGGTAAGCATACTTGACTTGTGCCGCAGTATGAGTTCCCAATCAACAACATATTCATTGATTCATCACTGTTTCACTGTAGTTTGACTGTTGGTTGTATGATCTCCCCTGCAAAAACAACCACATTTTGCTTTACTCATCTCATCATCAAATCCCGGCAGTGGTTTATTTTACTTGGCTTAGCCGGTATAATAAGTTGCAAAATGCCCCCCACCCCTTAAACCGTTTCCAGACTGTATGTGTGTTCCCTCAGTTTGAGACTCATGTGGATTGAATGACATTACACAATTGCATGTAATGTATAATATGCACACCCGATTTTCTGAGGACTGTTTCATGTCAAATGACTTCAAAATGCCTCTATGGTTACCATCATAATAATAGCCACTGGCACTATACGGTGAGTACACCATCCATCCACTACTAGTGTTTTCTAGAGTTTCCAGCACATAGCATCAGAGTAACGTAGATCTAAGAAGCTCAACTGCAGGGTAATAAACACATTGGGAACCTTGCTGTATACTCTTTACACTACCATTTTGTCCACGATATGTGATTATTTTTTCTGTGTGTGCTGCATGTATATGTATGTGAGTGGGTGCGGTTGAGGTGTGCCGTGGTGGGCTCCCTTTTGCACAGTATGGTTCTGCAGTATCAAGTTTGCACCCCATATACATTATCAGCATGTTTGTCCCTAAAATTACACTGAGCTACAAAAATAGACCATATGTAAACAAGGATTGACTTTGTTTGCACAACCTGGTCTATTTGAAGAAGTCAGAGACAACAGACCTCAGCAAGAGGCTGCAGTGGCCGACTCTCTCCAGGCAGAGGCGTGCAGGGGAATCTCTTTCTGTTGGTCCACTTTTACCTCTCTGATCACTGGCATGTCTGATGAAAACATATTTTTACACAACAGCTTCACCTATAATTGGAACCATAACTTACCAGTATGCCAAAAACGGACTAATTTCATTATAGGGAAAGGGAACTGAATTGTCAATTTATAGGAACCTTGTTGTGATATCTAACTATTGAACTATGTAAAACTAACTTGCTTAATTAAGCCTTCATAAACTTACCCAAATGAAATTGCAATATTCTTCCCCAAACAATCCTACAATATTCCAACAGTTAGGGTTTAACTGAAAAATGAAATAAGTTTATATTAACAGTGTGACGCTATATACTGACTATCTCTTGTGGAACTATGATATTCCTACAGTATTTCTTTGGGTTCACAATTTTTGAAATGATATTTACAGAAGCCTATCCCTCTTGTGTTATATAAAGTAGTATAATATGCTACTTGGCCTATTAAATGTTCTGATAGGCCTTTATTGTTAAGAAAGAGTTTTACCAACTATATTCAAAAAGATAATACTCTAAAATTCAGCTTAAATTAGACTATTTAAACTTATTGTCCATATTAGAGATATCATGGCGGTTAAGTATATCCTACCAGAATAGCCTATGCTGTACATGCTAAAACATTTGCTCGCACAGACAGTCAACAGATCAGCCAACACTGTTTCTCATTATGGTAACTTCAACCACAATGTCACAAAATGAAATATCCCAGACATGAATGCGGCATGTTAGCTTTCACCTCATTCCGCTGCAGCTGAAAGAAGTTGTTGAGATAGTTGGAGTTCAGGGAAGAGCTCAACTCCGCCGCTCCGGGAGTCTTGCTGAAGCTGAGATCGGGGTGGGAAGAGTTGGGTTCTGGTCTGAACGCGTCAAAAGCGCTGGTCTGGTGGGGGTCTTGTAAGGAGAGATAGACCCAGTTGAGAAGTTGCGCAGGCTGGTACACGGAGGCACTCGTGTCTATGGCAGACAACAAGCTCATCTTTCAAATTAAATGGCTAAACTGGATTTTCCACCGCTGATTCTTGGACTGGTCTCAACTCTTTTGCCGTCTTGCTTTTCAGTTCCCGTAGCCCGGCAGATGGCAAGAGCTCCTTATTTCTTCCCGTAAAGAGCCCTGTCCTCCTCACGCCGGGAGCCTCGTCCCTGTTAGATGTTTCTCAAAAGTCATTGCGCTGACATGTCAGTATAAAAACTTTTCCCCTGCTCCCCATGGTCCGCTATCTGCCTTTATTGCAGCGGGCACTGAGAGGCTCTTTGAATATGTAATGAAGACGACTCTGCGTCAACGAGGACGCGGGCCAATCAGCGTCCGGTTTGTGTGAATATTCATTCATAGCCAACTGGATGAGACAAATGGTTCAACCCAACATCTCAGCTTTACCACAATAAATATTCTGCCACATCAGTTATTAAATTAAACCAATTCAAGACTATCTACGAGCCTTAGGATGAGATCTATAACTTACTTCTAACATTTATCATTTATAACGTATCGTTTTGTCTACTGGTGTTGAAAAGGTGTGTATGTGTGTCTTTGTATCAGAGAGAGGGGTGGGGGTGGGGTGTTATAGATAGGTGTTTTGTTTATTCAGGTAGGTGAATAGTTGCACTTAACTGACGAATACTTGGAGTGTCCCTATGACCTATTAATGTTGTAAACTCCTATCAGACCATTAATCAACAGTGTTTCACAGCTGATTCCAAATATTGTCACTGATGCAGCCTATAGCTGTCTGTAAAATGTCTCTTCTTCATGTGTGCAACAAGAAAAAAAGCTGGATCACTGGTGAGTAAAAAATAAGCACCATTAGAGATCAAATCAGTTAATCAACCAATACAATCAGCCTCCAGGCCTCTATCTCAGCACTATGTCCCCGCTTCCAACCTGACCTGAAGGTAGCAATATGGAGAAAGCATTGAAATGGCTCCCTCTTGTGGCAAATGTCCCTCACATACATACAGTACAGTTGTGAAATTCTTAACATAATCAATGTGTGTAGCCTACTTTTCGTAAAGGTGATATCAGTGACGTTGTAGTAGTTAAAAATATAATTTCCCCGTTTGGTGACCATCATCATATCACAGTCACAAATATATAAAGCAGGCAAAAGCACTCATATTTTGGAAAAGCATACTCTGTAGTGCGTTTATTCTTGTGTAAAAAATCATTCATTTCATTTACAGACCCCATTTTGATTATATTTATTATTCTTATTCTTATTCTTATTCTTATTCTTATTCTTATTATTATTATTATTATTATTATTATTATTATTATATTTATGTCACTTGATTGTCACTAAAATATAATACATGTAATTGTCACTGTAAAAAGACAGCATATTATATGCAGTATTAGTTTATATAACTTAATTATTATTCTAATTGTTTAGATTGTTAATAAATAGTAAATGTGGCTAAAGGTGGTCTAACACAGTCTTCCATCTTACGTGGACAGCATTTCTTTTGGGCAGCACACATGCTGTCAAATAATAGACCTATTGTGAGATATTTATGTGTCACTGGTGTGTCACATTTTCCATCATGTCATTAATGTTCATGTATCAATAGGCTACGTGTTGTGTTTATCTCACAGTTTAAGGGACTGCTCCTTGACGGACAGGACAGATAAATGGGTGGGTTCCTTTAATGGAAACTATGAGTCCCACCCACACGGTTTCAATACGTTCTGTACTAAGACGGATCTAGGAAACACAGGAAGAAACTGCAAGCTGACCAAGGTAAGTGCTAAAATCAAATAACTACTCAAAGAGGCCGAGCTAGAATAATGACCGACACATGTAAGTTATATTTTGATGAGTGGCAACTCTTTTTGGAGTTGTTTTGTGGTGTAACGTCACTCTGCTCTTTTCGACGCTGTCGCTAGCTTCCCGACGTTGTTGCAGATTCCCCTGTGCATTAAGCTTATCCCTTTACGGCTACAAGAAGGTTGTATTGTCAGTTTGCTGCTGAAATTTTGATCACTTCTGTATGGTTAGCTATCTTGCTAAGATATGGCATATGCCTGGGCTCGATTGACAAGATTAATCGACCCACATTATGTAACTTCCATTGGTAGTTAACTAAGCTAGTTTCCAATAAGAGATTCGCCCAGGCCTGGAATGGCGTTGGATTTGATAGGTCGATGTTCAAAACTAGATATTTGCCCGTGTAGTAAACCTAAATGTATTCCAAAGGCTAGTTTAATCACTTTCCATGGTGTCAAACTACCAGCGTAACGTTAGTATACCCACCGATATAGCAATGCTATATTTTTAAGTGAATGAACTGACACACCTAATGTTAGGACATTAACATTAGCTAATAGCAACCGTAACCATTTGGTAACACATTAGGAGGTTTTAAATTCCTTACATCAATGGTTCTTTTACTTTTCTTTTCTTTTCTTTTGACCCTGAAATGATAACTATCTTTATTAGCACCCCAACTCCCTTAGTAAATGTGGTTGTGAGTTGGGTTGCAGCTGTGCAGTGTGGTTATGTCAAGTCACAGTTTTCTCACAGTTTGTGTGAAAGCAGTTAGATGTGATGGCTTTGCATCTGCACAGCAGTTAAGTGTGATATTTCTCAACATGAACCATAAACCCTGAGGCAGACAAATTACATTTTGTTTTGACCTTGTGTGTGTATATATATTCAGTGATTACAATCTTTGATCAAGTATTTCACAACACCAGAAACAGGGCATGGGAACGAAGTGCATGAGCAGTTAAAAGTATTTCATAGTTTACTTTTGAGTTATTGTGATAGCAAAAACCCCTGTCTTCAATAATATTAAAGCAGTTGATAAAATATTACCCTATTCACTGGATATAAATTCATCTAACTCGTATGATTTGACCTCTGTCTTTCACATTTCACAAGGTAGCTTTCTCGTCCTGTGTGCGTTTTCAAACGCAGCAGCGTCTTTTTTTCTTTCCTGTGTCCATAAAATGCAAACTGTTCCATTTAGGTCCTCTGAAGTCAGTTTCACCATGGAACAAGTAGGTCTCTTGGAGCAAAGGCTTTTCATACTAGGCTAAACCAAAATGAAAGTTTCCTCACCCCCACACCACTCATCTAAAATGTCTGTGATCCAAAACTCCTGGAAGGAGTTTGCCCCTCATTAGATTGCAGTGACACTGACATTTAACAGGGCTGTAGCAGTTGGCCTATGTGTGTATTTAAAAGTCACAACACTGAGACAAGGACCTATAAAGCAAACTTATATTATATGTAATGCCCCCATACAACAACTAACTCTATAATTATGGTGAGTCGGAGTTACAATTTTCAAAGTAGACGTAGTATATAAATGCACAGTGAAGAATTCCTCCCAGTGGGAAAAGATGAGGAGGGGCAGAGTGAGAGTATTTTTAATTCCTATGTTCCCATGTTAGTGCATCCAATATGTATTTAGGGTGCTCTGTCTTTTAATTCTTTTACAGTATTTGTCAATGGAACTGGTGCATTTTTGTGTCAGTGGCTGCCCAAGATTAACATTGTATTATTTAGTGATGGGTCATGTTTGGCAGTCCTTTGACTGACAGTTCTGTTTTATGTTTAAAGTCATGAGCTACCCTGGATACCCACCTCAGGCAGGTGCTTACCCACCTCAGCCTGGTGCTTACCCACCTCAGCCTGGTGCTTACCCACCTCAGCCTGGAGCTTACCCTCCCCAGGCGGGAGGCTACCCGCCACAGCCAAGTGGCTACCCCCCACAGGCTGGCGGCTACCCCCCACAGGCTGGCGGCTATCCACCACAGGCTGGCGGCTATCCACCACAGGCAGGAGGATATCCACCACAGGCTGGAGGTTATCCTCAAGCACCACCACCAGGTAAGCAATCATGCATCACTGCAAAAGAAATGGTTCAAAAAGGAAATGTTAATTCGCTCTTTTGCCAAAAATTAGATATTGATGCAGCTCTCATGTTTGTATGGTAAATATGAAGCTTCTGCCAGCAGTCAGTTAGCTTAGCATAAAGACTGAACACACAGGGAAAAAGTAGCCTGGCTCTTTCCAGAGCAACAAAATAGTGTTCTTTGTCATCCAGATCCCAGTAAGAAAGTGAATAGGCATATTTCCCAAAATGTCTTAACTATTCCTTTAAAGAAACACTACAAAATAAATGTCATAGAATTTATCAAGTTCTTATGGTATAGAATATTAGTAAAATATTTGCCTACCTTCACATCTTGCACACACATCAGAGCAACATGAGCCTCCCTTTAGACAATGTAATTGTACTTGCAGAAAAATCAAGTTGATGTGAAACACTGAGTGTTATAGTCAAAATATTCTGGTGCCAATTGTAGAAAGGGTGACTCAGTTATGTTGTGTTTGTAGGCAACAAGGATCATGAGACTTATAGTTGAGAGGAATTTTTTTCCCTCAAAAATAAACAAACGTCTGCTGTTGCTAAGAGAAACAAGTCCCACAGTTCATCCTTCACATAGTACTCCCGCTGTCTGTCCAGCACTCTTTTCCCTCCCCGTTAACTAGTTGGAAAGTGAGAAAAAGGAAGTTTCAATGAGAGGGGTCATTTCTGTCTCAGTTTAATATTCTCAATTCTTTCAGGTATCTAGTAGCACACTACATCCTCAACTTTCTCAAAAAGTTTTGACTTTGTTATCTTCTCCAGGAAGCTGGGGTGGTGGCCCAGCTGGTGGTTATCCCTCCATTGGGCTTGACAACTTATCTAACCCTGGATACAACGCTGGCATGGTAAGTTATCCTAAAAAATCCCCTTCACCTGCACCTAGAAAATTCTTAATTAATATATGTTTAATGAAATGTCATCAGATTTTTGCGTTGAATATTCCAATTAGCATGAATTACACAGCCATTAATGGAATATCACATCCTTTCACTTTACGGTAAGACTTTTCCAAAGCCTGCATCCTAAAATCATCAGCACTTCTATTTTTCCTTGTCAGTGTCTCTTTCAAGTTCCCTTGCATGAGAACAACTGTCGTATACTTGTTTCTTATTGGTCCCTTTGAAAATGTATCAGTCTGATGCAACTTTTTTTTAACCTCTTATACTTTGTCCTCTCTGCTGTATTTGTGTTATCAGATATCTGAATTTCCATTCTATAATAAAGCACGGCCACACTTTGTTTGGATACTTGTACATCATGTAGATTGGTAGAGGTTCAAAAGATCAAGAACATTAACTTCAGCTTCTCCTCTGAAGTTAGACCAAGGATAGGGGACATTCCCTTGAAAATATGTTAAAGTTAAACAGTGATGTAGATAGTGGTTATTTGAAATACAATTCATTAAAATATTGCAAAGTAAATACAAATAATCTAATCCAAAAAAAGTGTGACCAGCTATCTCTGCTTTGCATAAAATAATTTTCAAGGATGTGTGGACATATTATGGCATTCCAATCTTTCCAAATCCCAGGCCAACCAGATCTCAGGCATGGGGGGTTTTATGCCAAACCCATCCATGATCGCCCAAGCCCTTGGGGGGTACCCATCTCTCCCTCAGCCTGGTGGGTATGGTGCCCCCTCCCCTAACCAACAGTCATATGGCCTGTACCCACAGCCAGGAGGGACCATGCCCCAACACCAAGGCCCAGGGATGAGCTATCCTGGTCAGCCTGGACAGCCTATGCCAGGGTACCCTGGTGCACCCTCACCTAACCCTCCCATGCCCGGTTATGGAGGAGCACCAGCACCTATGCCAGGATACCCAAAGGTCCCATCACCAAATCCATCCATGCCAGCCTATGGAGGAGGAGCCATGCCAGTAGCTCCACCAGTCAATGTAAGAGACACTGAAAATGCGGAAACACAATGAACTCTTTGTTGGAATAACATTGTCACATTGCCAAAATTGCTGTATTGTTATGTCAGAGGGGATTCAGGGGAACAATCAAGGACTTTCCTGGAGCAGACCCACTCAAAGATGTGGAGGTTCTGAGGAAGGCCATGAAGGGCTTTGGTGAGTGCTATGGGCAGAGACCTTAATCGGGGTATGCTGCTTATTTTATTATTTTTATCTATATCTATCTTTTTCTTTAGTAATGTCGTCTGGATGAACTGGATGTTTCCCATTTGGGAAGTTGTGTTCTAACTGTGTATTCTTTTTGGCCATCCCCTCTTAATTATGTAGTTGACTAATTGCTTGAGAGGGTAGGAAGTGTTTAATTGATTCATCAATTTTAATAGTCTTTTTCAGAATAATGGTTTAAAATTGAATTTCTAATCATTTGAAAATTATAGTTATATTATAGGAAGAAAAGGTAAATTTTAATATTAAATCACCAAATCAACTAGTCAAAGACATCCGATAACTGTTAACTAACACTTTCTTTAGTCATGGTCAGCTGCAGTTGTTTTCTTTAGATTCTTCAGGCTTTTGTATTTCGAAAGAGACTTGTCATTTCTAAGTATAAATAAATGTTTCAGATACTAAGTCATGTTTTTTTTTAATCTGTCTGATTTGACATTGTGGGCTTGTCTGTACAGGAACTGATGAGCAAGCCATCATTGAATTGCTGGGGAGTCGCTCCAACAAGCAGCGTGTGCCTTTGCTCCGGGCTTACAAAACTTCCTATGGGAAGGTAACAGTTCTGTTCATGCTTATTGTTTAATTTATATACTGTTAGTCTGATAACATTAGAAGCGCTTCTACTTTTTAAAAATTGTTTGTACAACAAACACCAATATAGAATCATTCGTGGCTCAGTGTGCATTACCTAGCAGTGCTTAATGGGGACAAGCAGACAACAGGTGCTGGTGCTGTCAGTAAAATGGAAAGGGGATTGAATGTCCTCAGAGCTCATTACAGTTATGCCACAGAGCCTCTTGCAGTGAGTTTTTCACAGCAGCAGTTAATGATGGTTTTGAGTTATTCCAAGCATGTTTCCGTTTTTAGGATCTGATTAAGGATCTGCATTCAGAACTGTCTGGAGACTTTAGGAAGCTGGTCATGGCCATGTTGAAGAGCCCATCTGAGTTTGATGCCTATGAGCTCTACAGTGCCATCAAGGTAAATGCTTAGAAAATGTTATAAAAACACAGATAAAGAGGTGTGTTTACAAGATATAAGATAAATGTATTTAAAATAAAATAAGAAGCTGCATTAGTTGTACATTTGGATAAAGATTCACTAAACAAAAATGAGCAGGAAGAACTTTGGCTGCTGCAAGGCCAGAGCATGAGGTTGTCGGATTATCATTGTTCTGTCTTCCAAACAGGGAGCTGGAACTGATGAGGCTTGTCTGATTGAGATCCTGTCTTCTCGCTCCAACGCTGAAATCAAGGAGATAAACCGCATTTACAAACAAGGTGAGATGCCTCAGGGTGGTTAATGCACTGCTTTTCTCCACTGCTCTGTTCATCTTTATCTCACAGCATCAAAACACTGCTTTGAAAGGGTTTTATTACATTAGGGGATAAGCTCAGCGTAGCTAGATTTGGATACCACCATAAAATTTCTAAATGCAGATGCTATGGTGAGGAATTTGTCGCACATAAACTCAGATATTAAGTGCTGGCCCTTTTTAGTCAACAATAAGACATTGATATCAAGGATTCATAACTGCAAATGTATTAAGGTATAACAAAGTTTTCCTCATTTTTATTGTTTATTTAATTAATTGTTCAGCATTGTTTGCTATTTTATTTTGTAGAAGTCTGCAGTATGCTAGTTTTCCGTGCCAAGAAATCTGGTATTGGTCACCGTACCTACAGTATATGCCTGAAAAACTCCTATTATATCCATCTTGATTTTTTTTGATATTCTTCCTTTCTGTGACCTTGTATTGTTTGACTAAAATTGTGCCATTACTTCTATTGCCATTTCAGAATACAAGAAGTCACTGGAGGATTCCATTAGTGGGGATACCTCGGGCCACTTCCGCAGGCTCCTGATCTCTCTCGCCCAGGTACAGATATAATACAAGTGAATTATCTGTGTGCCTGAGCAGCTACCCACAGATTTAATTTGGAATATTTTTCTCTGTACTTTGAAGGGCAATCGTGACGAACGAGAACATGTTGACGTCTCTCTGGCTAAACAAGATGCTCAGGTTAAGTCGGCGTCCTTTTCATTAATAATAAATGTTTGAGGATTTATCTGCAACCATGTAATTCTTAAATCAATAACTTGATGTATTGATTACAAACACATTGCTTTGTACATATTGTTGGTTTCGTAATAGGCCCTGTATGCTGCTGGAGAAAACAAGCTGGGAACAGATGAGTCCAAATTCAATGCTATTTTGTGCGCCAGGAGCAAACCCCATCTCAGAGCAGGTATTCTTTATGAAAATGAATAAGGTTGAACATTTAAGACATGTCAAAATGTAATTAAAAACCAGCCCACAAATGCAAGTTTTAGTGTTTTGCTAGCTATATTACTGATTGTGTGTGTGTTTGTGCGTGTATTAATCTATGTGTGTGTGTGTGTAGTGTTTCTCGAGTATCAGCACATGTGTGGCAGAGATATTGAGAAGAGCATTGGCAGGGAGATGTCTGGAGACCTTGAGAGTGGCATGTTGGCAGTGGGTAAGAACACACACACACACACACACACACACACACATACACACACATACACCTATTCAAGTCTTAGAAGGGGCCACACCCATGTATTGTCTGGAGTCTCAGAATTTGTTCCACATAAATAGTTCATAACAAGAGAGGCATGACCACAGTATATGTCTGATGTAACATTTAACAATTAAACATTTTCCATGCTCATTATATAATGTGTTTTATAACAGCTTACTTAATACACAATTGAAAATGTACTGTAGTACTGGGGCAGTGTTCCTGTTGAATGTGTAATCTTTTTTTTTTTCCTTTTTTGCCAACATTTCTCAGGGTTATGGTACAGTAACCTGATTTTAGATGTGTTTTTATTTGAATCCTTCCATCGTTTTTCACACTCGGTCAATACAACCTAATTGTGAGGTGGTGTGCACTGCAGTGCTGGATGTTTGCCATTGTTTTGACACTGTTTCATTTCACTCTGTCTTTGTTTATGATTTCACTTTCTGTTTCTCATTCACACTTACATTTTTTTCAAAATATAACTCACTTTGAAGCTGCGGGAATCAATATTTGGCCACTGGGGTGCTGATTTAAATCACCTTTATAAAGTTGTTATTGCTAACACATCAGCGGTTGCCTGCAGACACAGCAATATTATCAACTCACAGGGTTCGTGTTGAATCTAAATCCAATATTTATTCTTCTTTTAGCTCTGTTTTGGTCTCCACCACTTCCTGAGAGAAATATCTGGCTCTTCAACTAGATGTTGAGCTTTCTCCATCAGCTAGTTGATGAAGTTTTTTTGTCTGCCATTTTGTGACATAACAATAATGATAATCCTCAATGGGTTTTTTATTTTGAGTGACCCTTCTTCAGAACCAACATACCCTTTTCTTTAAATATTAAAATATTGATTAATGCAGCTTTAAGTTTGCTTGTTATCATCTGTTACATTCTTTTCATGTGTGTATAGCTTGATTTTACATAGTTCACTTTTTAGATGGTACACAAGTGAAGTATTGCCATCTTCATCCTCCATTTGTAGCCTTAAATATTGCAGATCTCTTCTTGCTCTCAAGACTAAGAGACGAAGTATAAATTAATGGGTACATTCTGCTTGTGTTGGCGACAAGTAAATATTTTCTTTGTTTCAGTGAAGTGTATTAAGAACACACCTGGATACTTTGCTGAGAGGCTTTACAAGGCCATGAAGGTGAGACTCAGCGTTTTGTTTGGATTGTAATTTTCTATATATTACTAAGTAAGTGCAGAATAGTATTTGATTTATAATTGTGTGTATGTTCGTGTGTTCAGGGAGCTGGGACCAAGGACAGAGCCCTGATCCGCATCATGGTCTCCCGTTCTGAGGTGGACATGCTGGATATCCGCCAGGAGTATGTTAAAAACTACGGCAAATCGCTGTACACGCACATCTCTGTAAGTATCTTCATCATATACTACATTTAATACAAATGAAATAACCCCTCAGCGTTTTGGATGATTTTTTTTTTTAATCATGAATTATTTGCTGATGAATTTGTCTAATTTACAGGGAGATACATCAGGAGACTACAAGAAACTCCTACTGAAGCTCTGTGGGGGCAGTGACTGAACGGAAAACAGTCTCTATTACTTTATAGAAATTTTCTATAAATGTCACTTTTCCGCCCTAGCTATGCACACTATACACAAACCGCCAAACTGCATGCCAAGCCAATACTCTCTATGCCAATGTTTACTGAGTTGTAATAACCTCATACATATTGCTGCGTACAATTTCTTTTCTATATGCAGTATGCACAAAAAAAAAAGATTATATTTTTTCACTTGTGATAACTTTTATCATTTGTGTTGAATGTGGATGGCCATACAATAGATTTGTTTGAGATTGCATTTGAATTTTAAGAGCTATATATTTTTAAGATATTTTATTTCAATTGTTCAATAGGATCAGATATCTAATGATATCTGGAATGTTTATCAGCTTGTTTTCTAATGTTCAGGAATGTTGAAGAAAGTATGAGACATAGGATACATCAGCTAAGTACCAAAGTTAACGTTTGCAACTGTACCATCTCTTTTCTATTGTGTCTACACTTTACAATTCTTTGTTCATCATAGTGGTGCTGTATTTGGGGCAATCTGTATATCATATACCTGCTCTTGTAGCATGTAAAATCATAGCCTTACATTTCATAAATTGTTGGTCATTTTATCAGGTCTCAGAAAATAAACATTAAGATGGCACACTGGAAGTATTTGTGGTTCATATACATTCAAATTATTTGAAAATCCCTCTGATGTCAAATCCTTTCACTGGTTCATAAGCAGATGAGTTGGAAAGGTTTATACACAAGTAGTCACTTGGGGGTAGACTCAGTTTACCAGTAGAGGGCAGTGAAGTCTTTATGTCAACCCCAGCAGCTACACCAGAAGTATGAATTCCAACCAGCAGAGTTTACATGGATCATTATTTAAAGGTATTAGATCAATACACATGGTCACATTTCAGTTTAAATGTGTATACGCTGCATAGTTCTACACTGAATATTTTCAAGCCTCAAAATCCATGGCAAAAACTAACTGCTGATTCTTAAATACACTGCGTTTTACATGGTCAATACAGATACATAATTTCTCATTCCTTGAGTGGTGTAAAGTCAGCATGTGTGGTTGCACGTGAAGCTCTCCACGCCTTATTAAGTCCTGTTGGCTTCACTTTAAATACCGTTGAACACACTTGACTGTAGAGATGTGGCTCTGCGCTCGGCTGGCTACAGTAGTGTGTGAGTGTGTATGTGTGTGAGTTAACTGCACTAGGATCAATAACTCTGAAGTGAGGAGGAGGGAGCGTGTGGAATTGATAGCATCCATAAAACTGCCTTGGCCACATTAACCAAGTCTAGCATGTCTGCAGTGCTGTCAGAGGCCTGGGGGACCCTTTGGGTAACAGCCATGCTGGAAGAGTCATTTTTGATCACATCGTGTTAAAATCCACTAGAAGTGGCAGAGAAGGCCTGAGGGCTTTAGATGGATGTTTAAATTACAATAACTAGAATTTTAATGAAGATTAGATGCGATTAGATTGGTTTGGAGAAGATAATTTAGACATCATTAGATTAATGTTTATAAGGAAAGTGTTTCAGCATGTATCTGCCAAAACTGTAGTTTTGATATTTAATTATGATCAGAAACCTCCCATCTGTTGCAGGTGTCCAGCTGAAGGCTGTGTAATTCACTGTTAATTAAAAATCAAGAATTGTCTAATTTAATGTCTATTATAACTGATCTAATCATTTGGGAATCCTCTCACTGCTTTGGGGCCTGATATATTGTTGGGAAATTATGGCTTTACATTAAAAATGTCTTGGTATGATGATGAAGGATGCCAACAAACTTATTCTCTTCTAACATAGTGTTGCTGCCCCCTTCTTAATTTGGGACGTGCCCATTCAACACTTTGGGAACAACATCATCCTTGTGCGTTCTCACAGGATGAAGAGAAAATGGATACACCAATGCTGAGAATGAATTGCGTAGATGCAGTGAATAAAAGTCTAAAAAGTGAGTGGACAATAAAGTTGTTTTTCCACCCTTAGCCGGACAGACTTTCCATTTACTGGATCTCTATTCAGACTGTCAATAAAAAAAAAAAAATCCATAAAATTTTCAGTTTGAGACAATTTGGCCAGGATAAATGATGGATATGCTTGTTGACAGTCTCTTCAATAAAAGATAAAGTTATTATCTACCCTGATCCTGGCTGCCTGATAAACAAATCTGTTTAATAATATTTCAGTAAATTATCAGACAGCTAGAAACACAACCCTTGTTGTCTAAATAATAAACTCATTCATACCCCCAAGATAAAAAGCATCAGGCTGTCTTCTCTATTCAAATGCGCGTCCTCAGAAGTAGGGTACAGACACAACCGTCCAATCTGTGTCAGCAGTGGGGACCTGCTTCCCTTTGATATGAATGAATTGTAATTAATTTTTCATCTAAAGGGATAGCACATGGTTGCACAAGCTATGGAGCCAGCATGGCAGAGAGACAGAAAGAGGGGGAGAGAGACAGAGGGAGAGAGTTGTAGATGTCACAATGAGATTCAGTGCATGCATGAATAAGGTCACGGTTTGAGAGGTATGCCTGCAGATGCCTGCCTCTGTGCCAACAATCTTTATTCAGCTGTAGACTGGAAGCAGAGTGCATCCATCATCATCATCATATTGTATTTCACAAATCCTACTCAAACACGCATTTCATTTCAAATACACATTTTTTTCGTTTTTTTCACTTGCCACTGCCCTCTTATATCTTATCCAACACACAGATACAGTTCACGCTGAAATTGGTTGTTGTGTTGCAGCTTAGATATAGAAATGTGGTGCACAAGCCTGTGGCAACAGGAGCAGTATTATGCAAGGACTGAATAAAAATGCTTATATTTTTATCACAGCATTAGCATTTTTCCTACATAAAATAATATAGTCAGGGAGGTTTACCATTGACTGGGTTCTGTTGATTTGATGTGTCTGCGTTAAATCAAAAGATTAGAATGACGGATTAATATCACTTGGTTTATCAACAGTTTTAGGCTGACAGAACTCATTAATTCATAAATTAATTTTGGTGATGATATAGTGAGGTGCATGACACTGCAGAACACAACAGATAACCAGTGGTGGAAGAAGAATTAAGACCGTTTACTTAAGCAGTTATACTGCAATGTAGAAATACTACTATTAATATTAAGCCCTGCATTAGAAATGTAAAATGTTCATCAAGTATAAAAATGCAGAAAAATTTATAAAGTATTCATAATGCAGAAAAATTGACCTGTGATGTATTATGTATCATATTATATGATAAATACTGTTGCATTAATCTGGTATTAGAAAGTGCTACCAATCTAATCATTATAGGCTCATCATATGTTTTGTATGTAAAATCTGTATCAAGTATTAAGTAAAATGTCAAATAAATTTTGTGGAGTGAACAGCATACATTTGAAAAAGTGTATACTAGTATCTAAAATTTGTAATTTGTAATTTTTGTGCTTTGTCCTTGAGTAAATGTACTTAGTTACATTCCACCACTGCAGACAACAGATACATGCATTTCGTATTCTGTTAATCCTAGATGGTTGCTTTACCCTAGAGATGAGGTCATCTTTTACCCACCTTTACCACAACGCCGATAATTTTAAAATTTCTCCAGATTTTCATGCAAATTCTCTCCATTCTCATTTTTTTCCGCCTGGGATTTTCGACGTACTACGGGTTGATGTGTACGCCCATTGAAGAAATAGGTGTGTTTTTTGTAAAAAACCCCGCCCTATTTTGCCTTATATGGTCATTGAACGAAACGTTGATTGACAGCGGGTAGCAGCTGCTGAGTCGCTCAGACATGGCGGAGGATACAGTGTAACTGAGGATCAGCGGCGGAGTTACGTGAGTTTTCCCAGCAGTTGAGTCGGCAAAGGGCGCATTAAATGTTACAGAAGAAGAGGAAAATGTGTTCGGTTAAAGCGTACTCTGAGGGGAAGCAAAAAACGACCTGAACTGCCACACACGAGTAAGATGGAAAAATGTATCGCTGTTTAGTGCAGTCAACAGCCTTGGGCAACAAATATGGCTTCTTGTGCCTTTTTCAATATGCTATAAAAATTGATCTCCCGTGCAACCTAACGCCGTGGTGGCTCCGGCGAACTTCTGCAAGCCGCGATAAGTTAAGTTCAATAATCGCTCGGTACTTTTGATCGGTAAGGATATTACACCCACTTGGCCGTCTGGGTTAGCTGGGAAGCTACGGAACTACAGCGGATAGCAATGGAGCCAAAGCACAAAGAGTTGCTAGACCAGTGCCACCAGAACTTATTGGAGTCCATAACAGATGCGGACCGAGTGATCGAGCTGCTGATAGTTTCTGGTACCTTGAGTCAACTCGATAGGTTCGAACTGGACCAGAACTGTTCGTCCAGCGCCGAGAAAGTAGACCACCTTTTGAAGATGCTGATGAACAAGGAGAGCGACCATTTCCTCGACCTGTGTGTGGCCCTGGAGAAGGCATACCCTGACCTGTATACTGCCCTGTTCAGCAACAACGGCGGTGGACCTGTGGACCACTCCACCGGTAAGAGCTGAGACATAACTACTCACAAATAGGCTTACACTTGACTGTAAAAATGAGTGGACCGGCCACTGCATAGCTCCTGCCTTGAGTACAATCTGGGTGGTCTGGCGCAAGAAGACCGTGTGTGGATAGATACACAACAGCGGGCTTGGAGCTTCACGTAACATTAGCCAAACTGCATAAGATCATAATACAGGTTCATGTGAAGGTTGCAAGGGCAGGCAACAGTGCTGCTTGCAACATGGTCGCACATTTGCAATCAGAACTCAATGAGTGCAACATTATGCTCTGTTAAATGTGCAAAACATAAATGCACTAGCCTGCCTCTTTAAAGTAGACATTCACAATGGCCTGCAGATCTGATGCACAGCTTGTGATTAATTCAGCCCAGGACTATTCTGCCGTTACTGTCATCCCCCCTGCCCCTAAAAGGCTCTCTCCCAGTCACTGCAATGCACAGATTACACATCCATGGTGTAGAGTTGGTTTGGCCAGGTATGGTGTATGATTTCCTCTAAACATAGTCTGTGATATTTGTGCACTGTTGAGAGAAAAAAAAACCCAAGATCAATTCATTCATATCCAACACAAGCTCCAATTTATAATCATTGGCGTGATATGGTTAAGGTACATGAGCTTGCCTGACTTGTTTCCATGACAACGGGTTTACCACTGACATGTGGGCCAATATCGACCTGTACATGGGTGTGTGCGTGCAGCCTACCCATGCATGCTCACAAGTGTAAAGCATGGTGTGGATCAGTCCACCTTCTCATATGGAGAGAGAACCAAAGTGGTTTCCTAACAGCCAAAGATTTCCCTCCAGTATTGCATTTATGCTACATTTTTAATTACAGTTTATTCACTGTTGTCATTTGATGTGCACTCTGTCCTCACAGCAACTGCCTCCACTTCAGCGGTTTTGGTTGTTGTTGCACAGAGACAAAGGGCAACCAAGTGTAAAAGCCTCGTCTAGTTTTGCCTGTTTTGCTTTGTCTGAATGACTGAAGCCAGTGGCTTACTCACAACCAGCCTCATGCCCCGAGGGCCTGAATGCAGGATGAGCCTTGAGATCCAAATGTGGGGAAGAGACGCAGAGAAATGCTTCTCTTTGACATATTCTACATGTAAAACAACCATGCAGTCTATCTTATACACCATTTTGACACAGCTGAAGCTTTATTTCAAACACATGTCTGTGTCCTTTTTTTAAATACACAATGTGATCCATAGTTTACAGCTGCCAAGTTGTAGCATGTCTCTGTCTACTACCAGCAAGCAGACCTTAGCAGGTAATGCTGAGCTGGTGTCTTGCTCTGCTCTGCTGACTGGATCACTAATGCTTCCTTAAGCTTTATTACTTTATTGTAGTACTGTACTGTTGTTGCTGCAGAATAACACTCACACTGACAGCTGTTCACCCTTGAGAAGATGAAAATTGGACCCTGTGTTAGTTCCTTGACTCTGGCTGGACTCGACAATGTGGAATTGGGCTTTTCTCCACACACCTTTACAGACTGTAGCACTGGGCCTCAGAGCTGACCTGCCCTGTGCTAGGAGAGAGTGAGTCTGGCTAGTCAGCCTGCGGTTATTCAACAGAGGATTAGGCCCTGCTCTCCTCTCTCTGGTGCAAACTCTCTCTGTGAGACACGCTTTATCATGCCTCTACAATCCTCTGTTATTAGTCGCCACGCTCTTGGCTCCTTCTGTTTTGACTCAAGTGTTGTGGTTTTTTTAATTATTTTTTTTAAATGTGCTTTTTATTATCTTTTAGTGTAGTCATTCGCCTGATGCGATTACCGCGTTTTAACCACACTTTGTGAGAGACCGAAGACAAGCCGCTCACAGAGTACCTCCAGGCAAAGAGGCACATAGGGATGAAATCTTCAGAGCCCCAGTGTGTCTGTGAACGACGCGGGGTGAGTGAAGAGAGGGAATATGAGTGTGTGATGAGTCTTACTGATAGCAACCTGCTCTCAAGTCTTCCTCCTCTCATGCTGCCTGCCTGCTCTTGTTCTCAGATGTGCCTCCTTTGCCAGCTGAGCTCCCATACACGCTCACATACGGAATCATCTGAACTCCAAAGAAACATCCTCACCCCAGAGGAAAAGCATACAGATGCCCGCAAAAATGCTCAGTTGTTTAAAGCTAGGGCTCTGTAAATTATTAGTGTTTTGCTGGCTAACTCCAACACATTTGCTGTAGTGAACCCACAAACAAATCATTCATTATTTAGCCTGTTGTGTTCATCAGTGAGCCACTGGGACTGACTGGCTCACTGTTTTTAACAAATTCTCGAACTCTGATTAAACTGCAGAGCAGACGATTCACTCTGAATATTGAGTATGATTGAAGTTTTTGGCCTTGTTATGCTGCAGAGCAAGTTCTCAAACTGAACTGAAGTCATTTCATAAATCCAAGCGGCTGCAATCAAGCTGATTTCATGCCTCGGATTGTGTCCTCATCCTGTTGCGCTACATTGGACAATATTCTACCTGAAGGAACAGAGCACAAGAAGAGACGCACCTGCACCCCCCCCCACTCTTTCCAGACTCAAGGGTCTGTGACAGTGATTTAAACACACTCCGAGAGGATGGCAACACAATTCTCCCTGACAGGATGCAACGTCCACAGTCCTCTTCTTCTCCTGCTATCTGGTTGCCTTCATTTACTCATTGTTTTGGTGTCTCATTCCTATGCTTTATTGTCTTTTTCTCTGACTCACCCTCCATCCCTTTTTATCTTTCTTTCTCTTTTCCCTGACTTATTATATTTCTTTTCTCCCCATTGAGTGGTTTTGTTTCTCTGCATACTTAAATGGAGGGACACGCCAGAGAGACAGAAGAGGGTGATAGAAAGACGGGGCAAGAGAGAGGTAGACAACAAGCCTTTTGTTGAGAAGTTGAGCAGGCCCAAAGTGCACAGTCAGCAGCTTGCTCTGTGTACAGCAGCCTAGGACATAGGCCAGTGTGTGTGTTGTTGAAGGGGGGGGGGGGGGGGGGGTGCTCTCCTCTCTGTCAACCAGTTTCTGTCCCACTCTATAAAGCACAGTGGACAGACAGAGTGAGTTATGACCCTGACGCTCTTGTCACGACCGCTGCTCTTAAATATCTCCCATGAGCCGGACCTTTCTTCCCCTCTTCCTCTGTGTCGTTGTCTGTCACTCAGTGTTTCTCACGTGTCAACCTGCTCTCTTTCCCCTCGCCACTCTTTGTACCACAGTCTGACCTTATCCCCCCCCCCCCTCTTGCTGTGGAGAGGAAGCCATCAATTCATCTGCTGTTGACCGATGTTTCTGCTTAGGTGTGATTGATGACATTTGAGTAGATCGCATTTTCGATGAGTTGTGGGCGTGAGTTTTATTACATTGCAGTGTCTCTGCACAACCAGCAATGCAGGCTTCGGTTAAAACGGGCCAGGTTGTCTCTGCTGTGATTTAAGTGAGCCAATAGTGTGCTTTCGAGTATAGTGCTGCAGTGGTTAGTTGATTAATCAAACAGTTGAGCACCAGAACACAATTTTGTATAATGAATTAATCATTAAATGTTTTTATGAAGCAAAGATGCCAAAACTCGCAGGTTTCAGCTCCTCAATGTGACAATTTGCTGCATTTTTCAGTTTTTATATTTGAATATATTTGCATTTTTCACAGTTTTTTTTTTTTGTTTGTTTTGTTATTTTTCATTCTATAGACAAAATGATTATTTGAAATTATTGAAAATCAGTGATGAAATCATTAGTTTTAGCCTTATTTGAGTTGTAATTAGTACTGTTAATGGTATAGGGTCTTTTGTCAGTAATGCCGCTCAATATATCTATCTAATCAAGACCTGAGATCCAGACTAATGAGACGTTGGTCTAACTCCTTCCACTGGGCCATTGGTGTTATTCTTCCCATTTAATTCCATTGCTCTCTAACACAACATCTTTTTTCTGTGTAAAATTTGTATATTTTTTCACTTTAGCATTAATATCTGATGGCAGGTTTATCTACACTCTGAAAGTGCAAACCACAGCCAGGAGGCTGTACTGAAAAAGAGGACTTCATTACCATTTTACACATGTTCCTCTGCTTTCTAATTACCCCACAAGGTAGAGGAAATGCCAGCATCTAAATGTTTACCAGTGCTATGAAGTCATGGAAATAAACAGCATCTTTCCTTGCCCCCCCCCCGCTTTGTTCTGCAGTATTTTCTTTCTATCCCTCCTCTCCTCTCCTCCCATCATGGTGTCTCTTCCACCCTTGAATCTCCTTGTTGCTCCATCTCTTTAATTCTCTACCTTTTTTTATTTATTTATTTTTTTATCTGTCCTGGCTACACATGCCGTCATTTGTCCTTCAGTCTCTGGCACGCGACCCCGGGTCAAAGTGACCTGTAATCACCAGCAAATGATAGTGATGGTGGAGATCACTAGTACCTCCACCTTTTTGTATAGATTAGAAACAAGAACAATGGATGACACGCAACAGAGGTCACAGAGCAGATTTGGGTGAACCATAGTATGAACCTCCAGCAAAGGAGCAGAGATTGCCTGTTCTGACTAAAACGCTTTCAAGTAAAATTAGTGCATATGTTTTTAATATCAGAGGCATCAATGAGAGCTAAATCCCTAATGACATCTTTGTTGCTGATAGTTATACAATAGAAAAGGCCTTCCTGTCGCATCCATATTGGTAGGTTTGACTTATGATTATGTGCACTTCTCTTCGACACTAGATTCCCTCCTCTTGGTGACCTTTAAAGAATTATAGTGCAATTTAATCATCTGAATTTTCTCAACACACAATGAAAATGCTTTCAGAATAAACATGGTCTCCTCTGTGATTAAACATGAAAGGAATGTCACAAAGATTACCCAAATTCCAATAGTGGGTTTATTCCACACAGACAGGCTGTTGGCAGTGTTTTGGCTTATATTTGTACTAGCTGTGTAGCAGAGCATTTGGAGGACATGCAGGCATCTTTCACCTTTTTGTTTTTGACCCAACCCTTGGCACAGGCTAGCTGGTCAAAAAGAAATTATGTCTCATTTATGCTGAGCTAGAGCTCTTTGCAGGGAGAAAACCCATTATGGCTTGCTGATAATGGGCTGGGCTGGATTGCACTCAGGGGATTTTTTTGGACTTTGGTGCCGCTCAGCAGTTCTGACAGGTCTGCTGGGCAGAAGGCTCAGGGGCTCTTAGGTTTTCTTCTACACATCTCCTTGTTTTTCGCTTCTTGTCCCAGAGTGTTTACACAGATCCAAAATGACTATATTGCTGCACCTGGAGTAGATGGTCTTGCATTTCAATCAACAGAATAACAGATCTTATTTTGAGTCTTGCCACAGGGCAGGCATGGACCTTTTGAGTGAAAAAAGGTGGGTGGGTTGGACCATAGGCTGGAGCTGTGAGTCAGGCGATGTGCGTGCAGTTGAGTAATCCTGGCTCATGGAGTCATCATGTTAGATGTCTTCTTGTTTATGTTTCGTGTAGACCCCTTAAATCAGATGATCAATCCCTTACCCCAGCAGCAAGGCTTCACTGGCTCATTGCCCAGAATCTTGGCCTGTCGTGTCATTGCCTCCCCAGAAGTTGGGCCCACTGCACGGCTTACTGGAAGTCCCACAGTACAGGGAGGGAGTTGGACGAAGGGGAATCATGTCATATTTATACACCAGAATTTAAACTTTAAACAGATTTTGTGCTGAGGTGTAGGATAGGATACAGGTGTCTGAGTCTTTGATGATTATGACCTTAGTGTGGTTATCAGCCAGACAAAACCAATCCACTTTAAATACGGTTTCTTGGTCACTGTTGTTATAAGTATGTAAAACTTCAGGCCTTAAGACTATGTTGGTGTCTGAACGTCTCCACGGTTAAGATGTGATGTGTAGTTTCAGCTTCATGTTGCCTTACAGTGACACACACAGATTTTAAATAGAAAAAGGGGAAAAGAGCGCTGGTACTTGATTGGTACTCTGTGAATATTTTGAAGTTTTTAAGTTTTGGATTAGTACCCAGTATCAAAGCAGAGTGGGTGGGATCGCCACATCCCTTACTTGAGCTGCGTCCTCCATACAGGGAGAGGGATTTAGAGGTCTGTGATGCCAGAGTAAAAGAGATACTTTCTGCTTGCCAGCTTAATGCTGACATATCCTTCATCCTCACTTAAGCACACTGTAAAATGAGTGGGTAGTAGTTTTCAAGCGAATTATTAGTGTTGCTGTTATTTGCACTTCTGTAGTTTAATGGCTGTGAAGCTGAGGACACAAAAGGAGATGGAGCATAAAGAATATTTGGACTCTGCTTGACACTTGGTGTGTGATTGTTTTTTTTTTTTTTTAATCACTGTTGCTCACTGACAGTGAGAAGAGCTGACAGGGGCTAATAAAGGATAGCTCGCAGTATTATTTTTGGAATGCTAATGCTGCTCTTTTACCAAGTGGCCCTGAAAATTTTTGTCTATGATGTTCTTGGGAACTGAACAGGCGCCTTGGCTGCTTCGAATCCATGGTTTCAAGGCTTGTCAACATGCCCTGATAAAGGGAGTGTGAAGCAGCAGCAGAGTCCAATCGCGATGATAATCATACGTGCATTACGTTTTGGGAGACACACTCGTTGTCAGATAAGAGAATTTTCTGGAGCTGATGAATAATTTAGTCTCACCCGTCGGTGGAAGCCAGACTTTGCATCTTTGTTTGATAAGGCTCTCCTCCATCAGCCTCCCAACTCTTATGCTCTTCTTTTTCTCCACGCTGCAGAATTTACTATTCCTCTCATCCAGCTTCACCATGGCAACGTGTGTCATCTTGCTTTATGTGCTGGAGAACATAATCTGGTTGTCTGAAGCAACTGTTGGTGGTTGAGCGCATCGCTTGATTGGGAGGGAAAGCAGAGTGGAGAAAAGGAGGAGTGGGGGGAAGTGGAACCCCTTAGGTAGGGCGAGTACTCCCCTGACCTATTTAGATCACAGCGACGGGCCTTTGTTGCTGTCGCCTCAGGTCCTCCGCTCGAATATTTCTCACCTTTTTTAAAGTGTATCTCTTGATGGAAGCCAGTAGCAGATGCTCACTCCTTGTTAGCATATCTAATGGCTCCAGATGAAATCTGTCGTGATGTATTTATCTGTTAACTTGAATGTTGGGAATGATTTCTCAGGTCTGATCGTCTGTCGTCTGTCTGTTTTTGGCACAGAGAGGCGGATTCTCCCACTGTATATCATCAGATCTATGCTGCCCTAATAGATAGCCATTTGACTGATGCAGCGAACGTGTTTACAAATGATCGGCCTCACTGACTGTGGCTGCTGCTGCTAATTGCTATCGATGATTAAAAGCCTGTTGGAAAAAGGCTAATGCCACTGACCCATCGACCACCAGATAGCCGGCTTGCATCTGACATGCAATCCATACTGCATCCATTTGTGTGCTTACGGGGTTAACCAATCAGCCCATTACACTGATCTAAATATGGGGATTCTGGTGCACATGTTTGCCCTTGCAGCCAAATCAGATTGGGAGATACTGAGGATTGTCCCAGAACTGCCTGGTTCATGGGAGTTATAGCTCTCTGGTGATTGGCGAGTGTCCTCAGTGGTACAGATTACTAGGATTTTAATTTATCTGAGTGTTTTGGCTTCCAAATCACAAAATACAGCATTCAAGAAGGTACATTTTTAGACTTTTTCTGGCACAGAGCTTTACTGACTGTACGGTATTTTAAAAAAAGATTTATCCTCCAGCTGAGCTGGCATAAGACCGCTCAGTAGGTTCACGTCTTTTACTATGAGACTTTGTCAGTCAGATACTGGTTTCAAGAAGGCAGTTGTTGCTTTTCAGTGAAGCCAAGGAAACGAGCAGGAGCCTTTTGCATAGCTGTGTTGATTGTAGAGAACTAATGCTGTGCAGCTGTTCTCATCATGTCTGATGGAACAATATGAAATCAAAACTGTGTGCTCGGAGCACTTTGCAGAGTAAAAGTGTTGAGCATCAGGGAACGTCAGAACAGATTAAAAGCCTTTCCGCCCTGCTACTCTCTCTCTCTTTTTTTTTTTCCACAGTCTCTCGTCTTACTTCTCTCCCTCTTTGTCTCTCAAACACCCTCCCTCCTTATCTCTTTTGCGACTTAGTTAGGCTATCTCCTTTCATCTGTCCTCCTCTGCTCCTTGCTTTCCTCTTGTTTCCCCTCTCGCCCCCCTCTCATCTCCTCTCCTCTGCTCTGTCTGCGGGGCCTAAGATGGAGTGGCTCAGTCGCACAGAGCTCATAGTTAATTAGGCTTGGCCTTGTCACACATTGAGGGCTGGAGCCAGAGCTGTAGCTAAACCCAGTGGGGAGGCAAGGACAGAGATGGAGATCTAGAACAGTTGGCGTCAATCTATTGCCTGCTGCTGACAAAGCCAGCTAGCATTCCCCTGCTCTCTTAAACCCTGCGTGTTCGGTTAGCATTTACCACATTAGACAAGTATTATCTGCGCATCACTGTGCTGTTTTATGTAGGTCCAATTTTTATTTCTCAGTCTATTGTTTTTCTCCGTCTTTATCATTTACAAATGAAACACCTTTGGGTTTTGGACTCTGGGCTGAACAAAACAAGACATTTAAACAAATTATCCATAGATAAACCAATAATGACAATAATCAATCTAAAAATACTGTTTGTTTGACTAGTACTATGTAGTAGTGAATGTAGTAGTTTTTGTACTTATTTAAATAGACTCTTTTCTCACTTTTTCCCCCATTTTTCTTGTCGGTTTTTATCACTGGAAGCATTTTATAAAGTGTGCCGGTTGCAAGAGGGCTTTATCCACTATATATTGTATAGTTATATATAAAATTGAGCCTTTAGTGTTACAGTAGCATATATTCTGCAGTACAAACAAATGTAAGATGTCTTTTAAACAAATTCTGTCCATGCTGTCAGCCATATTTATGTTGTCCTTTGGATGAGGGACTCTGCAGTATAATGGGGATCTGCATAGTCTCTCCTATGGATTGTGGTAGCCTGTGTGAAATATCCCCCAGCTTAACGGTGTGTACAGCTATTCAGATAGGGAATCGTTTTCTCTCATTCTCTCTCTCTCCCTCTCTTTCTCTCCATGTGCTTGACATAAAAAGAGAAAATCCCATTTCAGCCGTGACATTCTGCCTGTGTAGCAGAAACATACAGGGACTATACATCAAAGCAAGGCAGAGTGCACAGTGAGGGAAAGGAGGTTTAATGACGATGGCGGTCTGGAGTGATAATATAGAGCCGCTAAGAAGGAGTGTTGAAGTTATTATTCCATGTATAAACCTTGCACCAAATTTATTATACAACTGTGCAGGGAATATGAAGCATGCTGTGTAATATTTATTTCTTTCCTCATTGCATGGGCAATTAATTCAGGCTTGCGTATAATTGGTTAATCAATCTATCAGTGCTCTGTGTCTGAATGTATCTCCTCTCTTGGCAGGTTCCACATACAGCGTTCTGTCCACCATGCCCTCTGACTCCGAAAGCAGTAGCTCCCTCAGTAGTGTTGGTATGTATAATGACCCAAGATGCCTGTTATGCTGTGTGTGTCATGCCAGGTCAGACTGGTTCTATACAGCCAACAAATGCACAATAACAGTGCAAAATCAGCATGGCTCTGTTATGACTGTTTACTGTTTTCTGATATTACCGTAATTCCCGATTGTCTGCTGGGTTACAAAGTTCAAGAAGCCAGTATTTTATATTTCCTTTGCTTTAAACCCCACATTGAGCCAATAACACTCTCCCAATGTCTTCCTCTTCCCTTAAGGAAGTTTGCCATGCTTGTCTTTTTCCTAGTTTTGACAAAGGTCCAAATGACTCAGCTGTGTTACATAAACCTCCAAAAGGGCCAAATGTTGAGCCAAAGATGAACATAATCCCCAGGTTTCCTGCCATGGCTGTTCTTTTCTATGAGGAAAACAACCCTCAAAATGACTCATTAATGGTGTAAAATTTTTTGTCAGAATCTGTCTATTTGGCAAAGTGTCAAGCACACAGAATAAAAGGGAGTGACCTTGTTATTTTAAGGACAAATCCTCCTCCGTTAAAATCAATCTGGTGAATTTTAATCTCAGTCGTGACAGGTAGAATTGAACTGTCAGATCTGATAATGGCTGCATAAAGCCAGGGTAAAGAAAATGCAGCTATATAGGAAACAACCTTTTATAAATGAGGGATTTCAGGGTGAAGTTGTAAATGCTTTGCAAAGACTTCAGGTTTCCTGGCATTCCAAACACAGGAGCTTAAATCAAATAAAAAAAAAGAAACAAACAAAAAAAAAACCTGGAAACCATGGTTTAAAACACAGAGAAAGTACCAGAGACACAGTACCTCATCACAATCCTATCTGCCCCTTCTGCCTTTCATTTTCATGGCAGAGATTACAGATGTGTGGTTTAGTAAATCCAATGTAATTTTCAGCAACTCTGCAGCAAATTGTCCCGGAAAAACCCTTGAGTAGATTAAACAGTCCGTGTCCCTTTGGGTGTGTTACATTGTTCAGATATAATTTTTTTTTTTTTTTTTTTTTTTAATGTCAGTAAAGTCAAGAAGAATAATTTGATAGCACCTGGGCCGGTGTATGTTATGCAGCTTCTGAATGATGTGGATTGCATGGGAAACTTTTTTCCATTGTGTGTTGATCAATAGTCCCAGCCTCCGGTAATGTACTCAATGTTGCAGGTTCGCCTGTTAACGGTGAAGCGTCCTCCCCGCCCCCAGCCATCAATGACAACCGGCCATCCGGTGACAACTTGGATACCATCTTGTTCCAGCTCCGCCAGGTGACCAGGGAGAGGGATGAGCTTCGTAAGCGTCTGGCGTTGGCATCGCCCGGGACCACCTTCGATGACTGCAGGTGCAAATCCTGGCCTGCCTGCCAAGTTGTTGTTGTTGTTGTTGCTGTTTTTTTTTTTATTCCTTGTGGTAACAGTTTTATTTGGCTGATGTCTATGAAACTGTCTACTGTGATTATAGATGCCTTTTTTGCCTAAATGAAATACATCAGATCCAACTATTGACTCAGACCTGAGATTCATTGCAGAGAGCTGCAAAGTTTATGACTGGTAATGTTTACTCTCTCTCGGTTGTTAAAGGCACTGTGATGTCAGTGTCCTCAGTTCTGGCTGCCATGTTTTCATCTATGAATTCTCTGCTGTCTGGAGTAATGTTGACTCTACCTTGCAGAGAGAGGGCACTGACACTGGCTGCTTAATTAAGTTTAATGTGCTCTACTTACCAGATGTTTCGTGTGCAGCAGATGAGACGAAAGGGCTGCTTTGCTTACATCAGTGCAAACTTTTTTTTTTTTTTTTTTTTTTACATTTAATCAAACATTTCATTCCTATCTTATGAATTCTCATACGAGGGGAAGGTCGGCCTCCTATCTGAGCAGTTTGGCTACATTATCGTACAAGGCTGCAGGATAAAGCGTTGACTCCTTGCTCTTGCTTTTTCTCCTTAAGGCCAAATTCCAAAGCCAGTCATGATTATGAGCGTCTGAAAAGCCAGTGCATGAGGGCCATGGCGGATCTGCAGTCTCTCCAGAACCAGCACACCAAAACACTCAAAAGGTGTGAGGAGGCTGTAAAAGAGGCTGACTTCTACCAGTAAGTATTTCTCCAGCAAAGTGTCATGGTGCTTATTTTACCTCTCTGGTTGCTAATGAAGAACTCATTAGAGTCATTAAGTTTTTAAATATTAACCCGTGTTATGTAGTTTAAATGCAGTGCAGCTAATGGCTTAGATTTCCATAGGAAAGAAGTTGTGAGTGTGTGTCAGGACTCATTATTGATGTCCAAACGTTGTGGGATGAACATTCTGTCAGTTGCCACCTGCTGCTTTTCAGCATAGAAATAATTAATTTTTATTGCATTGTTTTACTGGAATGGTAACAAATACTGGCATGGTGTTGCAATTAACCTAATTGAAAGAGCTACAGTCGGCTTTCACATTTGAAAGGGAATTGGCACTACAAAAAAAAACAAAAAAAAAACATGCATGGTTTTAAAAGCTTGGAAATGGAGGCATTTATGTGATTGAATTATTCAGCCTAACAGCTCATAAGCCAAGGCAAAATTTCTGGAGCGCAGAGGCTGATCATATGGTGTATTAGCTGTTAGAGAGCCTTGCTGGTTGGAATATTTTCTAATATGATGGAAGCAAAAGATAAGTAGTCAAATTAAGTTAACAGCGAATCAGGCTGACATTTTACACAGTATATAAATAACATGGATGCTTTGTACGGTTTTGGCTGAAGTCGCTGTTACAAAAGAACATCAACTTGAGATATTCCACATATAAAGCTAAAAAATGGACATGTAAAGTTAGTCTGTGCTGCCTAACATTTAGTATCACAATAAGGGGATTTTTAACTCCCTTCAAAAGGCAAGAGATTGCACTTTGGTTTGGAGTTTCTGGAGGAATGAACCTCTAGATAGTCTGCCTCTCTTACATACTGTCCACAAATCAAATTAGCTTACTTTATTTTGTACATTTTGTCGCCACTGTTTACTTATAATATAACCAAAGCTTGTTTTCTGTTATGTATATTCACATGTACAGTGTATTTACCTGTAAGTGTACACGTGTTTACTTCTCCTGTGCGTCTGTGTTTTTTTCCCTCTTTCCAGCATGTTGCACAGCCGCGTCCTGGGCGAACAAACACAGCTGAAGGAGGAGATGGAGACACTCAGGAGGGACAACGCCCAACTTGTCCGAGAGCACAACCACCTTAAACAGAACTGCGAGGAGCTCCAACGACTGCACAGTCAAGACCAGAAGGAATTGGCAGACCTCCGGCAGCAGCAACAGCAGGTACAGTCCCCCCACACGCACACACACACACACACACACACACGGTTTCTGCTGTAGCTGTCCAGATGTTATAAGGACAGAAACCACAGATTTACTGATGTGACACAGATGTTAGAGCCAATATACAAAATCAAACCGATTATTTACAAAAATTACACATTTTTAATGGTCCAGAGGGATTTTCGCCTCTTATTATTTTGAAGTCATACATTTTGTGACATTACATAATGTTGTATGTTGTCTTCTCTGTACTAAAGACTTTGTTCACAAGGGTGCTGGGGCACGTATTGGCCTACTGTGCAGTACTGTCTCTCACAGCACCCATGGGAACACTGCAGTGGTTAAGAGCACAGGGCAGCCAAGCAGATGGAAATGCATACAGAGCATTTCTGAAAAGGGCAAATGCAGAAGAAAAGGGCTGTGGCTTGGGCAAAGGGCACACCGACCCAAACCATGTAGCTACAAGATCAGTGTATACGCAGTGTTGTGCTGTGTCGATGAGGTCAATACAGCCCTCGGGTCACGGCAGCTCTCCCAGGAATCATGAGGACTATATCAGCAAGACCTACAGTAATGAGACATTCAGAGAATGAGTAATGCCAGCTGAAGGACACACTCTACATATAAAACAGTTAATTTTGCAGGCCAGCCATTTGGTTTTTACTTGCGTGCAGTTCTAGAAATGCACTTACACTTACAAAAGCCATTGTTCAAGCTGGCACTGGTTTTTGCTTGCGCTGTAAAAATCCTGCCTACACATTGATGCCATCTGCTGCTAAGGTGGGGCACAGCAAATACAGGCTTAGTTCAGTTTCATGTGACAACAACATTTTGAACACTACCAGTGCATGTGTAATGACAGGTCATATGACCTCTTGTTGTCCTCACCAGGTAATGAGAGAGAAAGGCTCATCAGAGGTGTTGAACAAACTGTATGACACAGCCATGGACAAGCTGGAGGGCGTAAAGAAGGAGTACGACGCCCTGAGCAAGCGCTACAGTGAGAAGGTGGCGAACCATAACACAGACCTGAGCCGCCTGGAGCAGGCCGAAGAGGAGAACCGGCGGCTGCAGAAGCAGCTGGATGCATTGCTCAAGCAGCGCGACTCAGCCGTGCACTACCAGCAGCAGTACTCCACCTCCATGAGAAGGTAGAAGCATCATCACCTGTACACACACATACAGAGAGCAAGACACGTGAGATGAGATATATATATATAATGTTTGAGATATTAATGCTTGAATCAGTGCAGTAACACGTGTAAACACGCATAAGAGCAACTGCTGCTATGAACATGAACAGCATCTTAAAATGTAGCACCATGTAGACCTCTTCATCTTCCTCTGCTCCTCCAGGTTTGATTCAGTGCAGCTGGAGCTGAACAAGTCCTCGGCCCAGAACAAGGAGCTGCAGAGAGAGATGGAGCGCCTGCAGTCGGAGGTGACGCGCTACAAGAACCTGCAGCTGAAAGCAGCCAAGGACTGCGAGAAGTACAAGGAGGAGAGGGACTCTGTGTTCAACGAGTATCGTCTCATCATGAGTGAGAGGGACCAGGTGATCAAAGAGCTGGACAAGTTACAGACGGAACTGGAGGCAGCCGAAGCCCGGCTGAAGAACACCTCCTCAGAGAGAGTGGTGGCCAGTGAAGAGTTGGAGGCGCTCAGACAGGTATCAGGCATAAGAAAGCGCCGCATGTACACAATTGTAGTTCATTTATCAGTCACAGCCGATACACTCTTAATATGCAGAGAGGTTATTGGCCAGAAAAGAATGGATGCTCCAAAAAACATCATGACAACTGTTCTTATAAATCGTGACAAACGCAAACAATATTAAATATTTCAGACAAGATCAAACAGATTAATGAATGACATGAGCACCTCTTCTCTCCAAATGTGATATATTATAGATAAGGGATAGTTTGAAATTTGGAAAACTATTTTATTTTTATTATTCACTCTCTTGCAGATGGTTAGATGAGAACATCGATACATGTCTCATGTCTCAGTTACCTTAGCTTAGCGTAAAAAACAAGGAAACAGCAAGTCTAGCTCCGTCCAAAGGTAACAAAATCTGTCTACTGGCACCTCTAAACAATCATATCATCATATCTTGTTTGTTTAATCCAAAATGATTATGTGCTGGACTATTTCCTGATCAGGCCCAGTTGCTAGGCAAACAGTGGAGACTCTAGCCAGTTACTGGTTGTGGCCAAGAACAGTTATGGCAGATAAAAACCCCATAAAATGGCGAGTTATTGTTTCTACATATCCAGCTACATATTTACCATCTCGTCTTACTTTCAGCAAGAAAGTAAATAAACGTATTTTTCCCAAAATATTGAACTATTCCTTTAACCTATTACCAGACAGCCCCGTTTTGTACAGAAGCCTGAACACAATGTAACCAAAATAAAAAAGTCACTGTTATACAGCTCTTTTGATTGCAGTCATAACCCTGGTGTAATATGAAAGCTAAGTCTTTAAATGTTACAACCAAAAAGTCAGAGTGAGTGTAAGAGATACTGAAGCAAAGCTACAGCTGTTGCAGTGATATGTAAATCCTAAAATGCTTTGCACAGATAGAATCAGGAGACTTGGTGCTTTCAAGCAAGGTATATTTTGTCAAGGTTGTGTGAAGACTGAGTCCGGTACAGGACAAAACACACCTAGAGAAGTTTTACCAAAGCCAAAGCATCCCAAGTGTGGGACAGTGTGTTTGGAATAAAACTTGCCATGACTCATCAGTCACTGTCTTAATGACGGGTACTGAGAAGAGAGCTGATCCACTCGTATGCCCACCGCGTCCCCCAGGAGCTGTAAATGTCAGTTTAAACTATTTCCTCTGTGAGAAATTAATATCAACCTAATAAATCAGGTTTTTCGTGAGTGTGTGCATGACTTAGGCCAGGCATCCACTTTTCAGCCAGTGGATCAAAGGCTATTTTCACCCAGAATACTTTACAAAAATAGCTCTGCTCCACCGCCTCCTTTTTGAAGAAGATTTCTGAACACTGGTTGACAGACAAAAGAGATTCATAACTATGTGTTGGATCACTCGGCATTGGCCCGCAAATATTTTTTTCACATCACATTAATGACTCACAGTGTTTGAGATGCCCTCATTCCATTTTGCCCCCTTTGTTCTGTGACAGGAGTTGAACTCATCACTGGTGGACCGCGACAGGGCCATCTGCGAGAGGAACGAGCTGCTGGAGAAGTACTGCCACGAGGTGAAGGACAAGGCCGAGGCCCAGAAGGAGCTGAGCCAGGCCTGCAAGGACATCGAGACGGTCCGGGAGGAGAGGGACGTGGCCCGCAAGGAGAGAACGGAGGCCATCATTCAAAGGGATCAGTTACTCCGAGAGTACTACCAGGCCAGACAGGTAACAAACAACACCGCACTTTAGATTGGACAGTATGAAGTCAAAGGTTAGACACATGATAAAGAGCTTAGTGCAGCCGGGGAGCTGTCAGTTGGTGGATTACATCATGTCAGTGGACTGACCCGTAAGTGGATTTAGGTCACACCTCTGTCTGATCACTAGATGGTCCTGCAGGTCACATGTCCCCCGAACCTTAAACACCAGAAAGCTTTGGTTTGTTTAAAAGTCACACATCTGGTCAGTTTCTACATTTGCTGCTTTTAATATTTCTGTCATTCTCTCACATCAGGCAGTATCATTTGCATGTTGTAACAGCACTCTTACTTAGAGAGTAACCTTATTCACGTGTACTCAATGTTCACAGAAACAAGATTCGGCCACCCTGGACATGGAACGAGCCAATAAGGAGATTGAGATGCTGAGGAAACAGTACGAGGCCATGTCTCAAGAACTGAAGGAGGCCTCACAGGAGGCTGAGGTGGCCAAATGTCGCCGGGACTGGGCCTTCCAAGAGAGGGACAAAATAGTGGCGGAGAGGGAGAGCATAAGGTCAGTCTGTGTATTGGTTTGTTACAGACTCCTGATAGAGTTGGAGGACACATACAATGTCATCTTTGTCACAGGCTAAAAATCTGCTCCTCCCAATACACTCCACCCATAATTCTCACATCATCCCGCCACCTCTGTTCTCTCCTTCCCCAGGACTCTGTGTGATAATCTACGGCGGGAAAGGGACCGGGCAGTCAGCGATCTGGCCGACGCCCTGCGAAATCTGGACGATATGAGGAAACAGAAGAACGACGCGTTGCGAGAGCTCAAAGAACTTAAGTGAGTCGTCGCTGTGCCTCAGTTATGATGGGAATTTTTTTTTTTTTTTTTTTTGGGAGACTCGTGTCTGCAATCCAAAGAAAATCATTGAGCCAGCACAGAACAACATTGCCTCTACTGAGCCAGCTCCATGTGCCGCACTGTCTTTGTCTCTATAAGCTGTTGTCCTCAGTGTGTGGCGAGGCGTAAGCTGTGCTATTCTGCCTTTGGAGACATCATGGAGCTCAGTTGTTTGTCTGGCGCCATTTCCACATGCCCAGATTAAAAGTGTAATCCCGGAAAGCGTCAGTGTTTTGGACACGCATAAATATTTAGTCTCTCACTGTCACTGCCTCGCTGCCTATGATCATGTTTATATGGCATGTAAAAGCTCCCTCTGCTGGCTGAAGTGTATATGACGAGCATTTTTTGAGTCAAAGCATTGTATGGACTGTGCAGTGTGCTGTGACTTTGAGAGTTTCCTCCTCTATCCTTTGTAAAGAACAATGCAAAATTGGGGTTTTAATGTCACAGCTACCCTCAAGGCATGCCTCAGTGGGACACCATATATCTTGCTGACAGAGGGGCATTGTGTGCATTCTACTTTTAGGTTTCTTATGAGTATATATAAATTTGATTCCCTAAACATAAGCATAACAGAAGGGGTGAGTAGGAACGTAAGGGGGGGAAAAAAGTGTGCTTTTAAGTTTTGTTTGTTTAAGTTTTTAAGTCTACAGGCTGGTCGTGTGCGATTCTTTCTGTTGCCTGTGCCAATCCGTCCTCAAGTGACTGACCTTCGACTCCGTGTGCGATGTCTTCCTTTGTTAAGGGAGAAGATGGAGAGCCAGCTGGAGAAGGAGGCCCGCTTCTGTCAGCTAATGGCCCACAGCTCTCACGACTCGGCCATCGACACAGACTCCCTGGAGTGGGAGACAGAGGTGGTGGAGTTTGAGAAAGACAGGGTAAGAGCAGCGCTCACAACTTATTACTGAGAGTGATTTGATGACATGCCACTCTCCTGAGAGCCAGCAGAGCTCTAAAGACTTGCCAAAACTTGATGATATTAAAATAGATTTGTCAAAATTAATGAATCTACCGTCATTTCTATTATTGCTTACAGGATGACATGGATTTGAAGGCACTTGGGTTTGATATTGCTGAGGGGGTAAATGATCCGTATTTACCAGGAGATTGTGGAATATTTGTTACGAGGGTGGACAAAGGAAGTATCGCAGATGGAAGGTTAAGGTATGAGCTGCCTCACGAAGCTAACCCGCGTCCTTTTCTGGACTAACAGTTTATTAAACACCTCATCGTCCGTCCTCTTGTGTTTCCAGAGTGAACGATTGGTTGTTGAAGATTAATGACATTGACCTGACCAATAAGGACAGGAAGCAGGTGGTGAAGGCTGTCCTTAATGGTGGAGGATTGATCAACATGGTGGTACGAAGAAGGAAGTCTCTGGGAGGAAGGCTGGTCACTCCTGTTCACATCAATCTGGTGGGACACAAAGGTATGTTGGTGCTGGAATACTCGGCTTATCGCTTATAAACAGATTTACATGTTTAGCCCTTGTCTCGTTCCCGTGCCTTGCGACCGTTTATGCTCCATTGTTGCTTTGTGTTTTCTTATTTATCACCACATTTTTTTCTCCTCTGTATCTCAGACAGTGGTATTGGTCTGGAGAGCGGGGTGTTTGTCACCGCTATCGTCCAGGGCAGTCCCGCCGCCAGGGAAGGTTCTCTCACAGTTGGAGACAGACTGATCGCTGTGAGTCACTGTCAGCCTTAATGAAATCCTTCTTTTTTTTTTTTCTTTTTTTTTTTTTTAAATACACCCTTCATCCACATCTACCACACTACAGCTCACACCCGTTCCTAATCCAGGCCTTGATCCATTCCAGTATCCACACTCCAAACCCAGATAAGGTGGGATTTGGCTGAGCATGTGAAGTAGGAGAAAAGGCTCCTCCTTTAGATTAAACCCCTTAAAAAAAACTTGCAGCTCTACAGGGCTAGGTGGAGCTGTCCTCGCGCACACACACACACGGCTGCAATATACTCACACTTAAGGGAGTGGGAGAGAGAAGACGAGTGTCAGAAATGGAACTATGCACACCCATCTCTGTCTTCGAAAAGTGACCTTGTCTCTTATGGTAATCTGTCAGTAGCAGCAGAAATCTCAACTCCCCTGTTAGTTTAACCTTAAGCATGAAACTCGTGCATTACCTTTTAAATCCCAGAGCACTTGGATAGCTCTGCTCACCAGTTAGCACCACAGCAGTGTCCTCCATGTAGCCAGGGAGCCGATATGCCAGATGATAGCTCAGCACAGCCACAATTAGCAATGGTAAGTACAGACGACGCGTTAAGAGATCTTAATCATGGAAGAGTATCGTATTTTAACATGCCCTTGTAGATGTTACCCACAGCAGTGTATCAGGTTATATATAACTTATTAAATGCTTAATTGCGTTTGCAAAAAAAAAAAAAAAGAGTCCAGAGTGCTGAATCTGCAATGAAATATGCATGGGATGCAACTGAATGTCAGTAGCTAAACTCCACGGCTCAGAGGTGACTGTTTCTTCTCCCCGCTCGATGAAACGTCTCAGACTTGTTCTAGGTTAAAGCAGAAAGTTCTCTCCTGAACTTACTTTATGATAAATCTCAGCTGTAATATATTACCCACTTTAGTATCTCTGACCGTTCCCTCTCAAGTCGAGCCCATTGTGATGGAAATGTGCAGATATCAGTGTGAGGATTCTTGTGACTGAAATGTGCTGGCCCAAATTTCTCGTGGTTTCCCCACCGCAGCAGAATGAGACACATCCCAGGTCCCAGCCGCTCTCATGTTCAGGAGATATGTCACCTGTATGTGTTTATAGACGTGTATCTATTTTGATAATACTGCCACACAGGACATAACAAATGCACCTTAGAGGAATATCAAAAAGACTACTGTGCGTTGCTTTAGTGCTGAAGGACTTGTCCTTATTACCAGTTTCTCTCTCTACTCCCCAGATAAATGGCATTGCTCTGGATAACAAATCTGTGACAGAGTGTGAGGCTCTGTTGAGGAGCTGCAGGGACTCTCTTAGCCTCTCTCTCATGAAGGTGGGCCACATTCATTTCACTTTCTGATCTCCTTTTCTACTTCACCTATGCCGAAAATCTTCAAGAGCTTTCTTTCTACTTTTTGCATGCCCTACTTAGTTTTACAACTTTAACTGTGTAGTTTGTGACAACTGAATTATCTGATGCATTACTATTTAACTAACCAGGGTATCATTTAAAGGTTTATCATTTGGTGTGGCTTATACTGTTATCTGTCCCCACCCCACAGTTCTTCCCTCACAGCACGTCAGGTCAGAACATCTTTGAAAGTCTGCGTGAGTCGTCAGAAAAGTCCAACGGGCGCATTCACCTGTCAGAGATTCACTCCCGGAACAGCCGCAACCTCAAACACAACAGCTCGACACAGACTGACATCTTCTGCCCCGATGTTGGGAGCACTAGCACAAGTAGCATCTCTGGGGAGAGGAGGAAGGTCAGAGGTGAATCTGAGGAGGTATACAGCGACATCAGCAAGCCATTCTCCACAGGTTCCCTCCACGCCACCAGCCTTCGGCCGGCCTCTGACTTGGGCACTGGACGCTACGGGCCCAGTGCTTTCCAAGAGTGCTGTCCCTACCCAAAGGGGCCTTCCTCCTTGCCCTTTGACCCTGTCTCGCCCTCAGACTGCATCACAATGGAGACAACCCTGGAGAAGAAGCACAGTGGGGGTACGTGGCCCAAGATGATGGTTGGAGGTATGTCTGTTGCACCAGATAACTCCAGTCCAGTCACAGCTGCAGCCCAGCTCTCCATCTACAAATCGCCCAAGCAGAGGAAGTCCATCTTCGACCCAGACACTTTCAAACGCCCTGAAACACCTTCCTCTAAGATGGAGTACATGGCAGCCAATCAGATTGCAGCAGTAGCTGCCGCTGCTGCAGCTTCCCATTCCCCTCAGCCTTCGAAGACAGAGTCCCTCTCCTCCTCATCCACCCCTACCCCAACCCCTCCTACCCCACCCACTCGCAGTGACTCCTTTAAGTTCAAACACAAACATCAAAGCAGCTCTGCCTCTGACTGCACGATCACCTCAGACGGCAAGGGAGAGGCTGTCATCTCCATGGCAGCAGGAGAGAGCAGAGAGAGGAGCGAGCGAGAAAGAGACAGGAATGGAAACCACTATTTCCTGGACGGCAAGGTCCTGACCTCGAGGAAGTCTTGTGACGAGGACATCGGCCGAACCAGAGGGGAGGAGCCAGAGGTGAAGAGACCACGCCCTAAATCTGCCCCTGCCCTCCGACGTAGGATGACCCCCCAGACCATCACTCTTCCCACCTTCCAAGTGAGTCAATTCAAGGCCTTACAAGTCTTAACGTTGCGCATTTGCTTCTGTAATGTTCTCCTTTAAGAAGGCTCTCTAATAAAAAGATGGCAAACGTGATGCATTTGAGAATTTAAAAAAATCTAAAATGGCACCAACATTTCAAATCATCCCACTGGGCCAAAGCATCCATTTTGTAATAGAATTTACAGCCCCGTCAGAGTTATACCTCTGGGACTTGCCTCTTTGGCAGCGTGTCTGAGTGATTGATGCTTCTGCACTGGTACAGCCACCCAACCCAAGAGCTGAGTCAGTGCCTGGGGCTCAGACGACTATGCCTGGCTACCTCTTCAGGCCCTGAAGCACATAGGAGATGAGGGTGGGAGGGTGGGGGGCTGGGGGTGGGGATAAATGTTCATTTTACTGTTTTGGGATGTTCCTGCTGTCATTTTTCTCATATGATGCTTGTCTCCAGCAAAGGGCAGAGGATTTCTCCCAAGACATAATAGCATTGTTGTGACCCTGCAGGGAAAATGGTAACCGTTTGTTTCTGTCATTCATCACAGAGCTACTCTAACGACGAGCATTCACCAGAGCCCAGGGACATGCTGCGTTCCTCCCCCAGCCGATCCCATAGGCACAGTGTCGGATTCGTCCCCACGGTCTACAATGGCACCCTACCTCCTAGTGAGTTTTCCAGATGCTTACATAAACACATGCTCTCACCTTAATCTTAGATCCCCCCCCCCCTAACATGGTGGTGTGCCTGTGCTTTGTCAGATTCAGCCCACCGGGGGCTGGCTCCTTGCCCCGCTGTGACTGCCGTGATGAGGAATCCGGTGTACACCGTGCGCAGCCACCGCGTTCATACCAGCAACTGTCCATCTGTCGCCTCCCAGATATGTCACCAGCACACCCACACCAGGTTACCTCCTTTTCACACTCACCGTTTCTTTCACCGCCGCTCTAAAACAGATTGTCAGTTCAGTGTTTCTGGCTGTTATGATGAGTAATATATTTAAATTAGCCTGTTTCCTAAAGGCAAAAATCACATAATTAAATTTTGGTTTGAGTGGAAAATAATTTAGTACCGTTGGTTTGCCCTGATATTGTGCAGTTATGATTTAACTCAGCCCATCAATTTAATTATCTCTCAACTAAGAAATATCTTGCGTGTTTAGATAATTGTGTAAGTATGAATAATTATGAGTGTTTCCTTTTATTTTTATTTTTATTTTTATCTTTTAAAAATCCGCACAGCCCCCAACACCAGGGTCGTCTGAGCCTGGACCTAAGCCAGCAGAAGCGCACAAGTGACTACTCTGAATCCTCGTCGTCGCGCAGCAGCAGAGCTTCACACGGTACAAACTCACTGCCCTCCAGTGCACGGCTCGGTCAGTCTGACACTCACGCACGCACTCACTCACACACTCACTCACACACACACACACACATAAAGGTCACAACTCATTGTCCCTTTCTTTTTTTAATCGGATATTATGTTAATTTCTGTATCATTTCATCCCGCTGCCAGGTTCTTCCAATAATGTCCAGTACCGAACAGAGAGGATCAAAATCCCTTCCACTCCCCGCTACCCCCGCTCCATGCTGGGGTCAGACAGAGGTACTGCTCTCACTAGTAAAAACACACTTCACACTTGCCGCACGAGTATTAAAACCCATAAAAGCACCTTGGATCAGGCAGCTATAGGTCTAAGCATTTTTTTTTTTTCTTTTTAACTCTGTTTCACAACCCTCGGGCCTGGTTTAACTTTGTCAGTTTCGCTGAATTGTAAGATCAATGTCTTGTTTGAGGTTTAACAGCCTTGGCAGAATGAAAACAGGAGCCAAAATAAATTTCATCCCCAGATGTGGAAGTCTCCTTTAAACACTTGAATTATCCTGTTTTATAAGCAGTTTGTCAACATGTTTGTACCTTCCAGTCTTTTTAGCTTTTGATTACCACCAAAATACACTTGTATCTCCTCTGTGCGAGGTAATAATGTCCATCATCAGTGGTCAGATTGTGTGCAGACGGAAAAATAATGTGTTCAGATGTAAACCATCTCTAGGCTGTTCAATATCTGATCATCCAAACCACCTCATCAGGTGATTAGAAACACATTTTTAAAACAATGTAAGCTTCCATTTGCACATATAGAAACCAAATACAACAAACTGTTGACAAGCAGCTCAAGTAGCAATATCCTTTTCAAAAATGAAGTGCCAGGATATTTGGGGATGTGGGACAAGTCAGCTGAGGAGTTAACTGTTGCTCTATATATCACAAAATGGTGTGACGCTGTAATTGTAATCACATTTCAATGCATATTCCAGAAGTGTATTTCATGTGAGATGTAAATGTCATTTTAGACTGCACAGACCCTTACTCTGTCCCTCTCTGCTCCTCTTCCCCTACACCCAGGCTCCCTCTCGCACTCTGAGTGTAGCAGTCCCAGTCTCATCACACCTCCACATTCGCCACTCAATCTAGAGACTTCCTCGTTTGCCAGCAGCCAATCACAAGGTTCCATTTCCACCTTACCTCGGATCTCAGTCAGCCCTGTGCCAATAGGGGAGCGCAGGAAAGACAGGTATGACGGAGACAAGTGTGCATGGATAAAGATTTTAAAGAGCAATACACCAGAAATGAATTGTGAATGACCAACTGAATGACATGTCTGCAAATTAGCTTGTTGATCGTGGGTTATCTGGTAAGGTCATGAACCAGATGGCTGGTACTAGTGTCTAGTTGATCAGTGTGGCCCTTGTTACAGGATACAGAGAAAATGGCTCTACAGATGGTGTAGATGTTGGGTGATTGATGGAGAGTATGATTATAAGGCTCACTTCAGAAGTGGGTAAGATATGGCCTGCGTCTGCTCTTAGGGATCCTCCCAGGTTATTTCAACAGGCGTTGCCTGGCAACAGGTCTATCCTGGTCAGAGCTCTGCAATCCCTCATTGAAATTCAGATTGAAATCCTATTAAAACTTGTTTATTAATTTTATGGAAGTTTCTTCCTGTTTCCAAAATAGAAGCAGTGATCTGCCAGTGTGTTGGAATTTTCCTCCAACATTTCTGTCCCATTTTGTATCACCAGCACCACTCAGTCTTTTTACACCATTACTGTCTCTGTATGATATCTGTCCTCCACTCTCCTCTTTTATCTTCCTCCCGCCTCTCTGTAACCTTCCGCTTCCAGATCTCTTTACCGTAACCGATCTTTTCTAAGGATTCCTCTGGCTGCAAGGCCGAGGTTCTCCTCTCTCAGGAGCCTCAGGTTCGTTCTCCCTCACAGTGCTACAAACAAGGGAATGCCCCCACCCACCCTTCCCCTCAAAGTCACGTTGTTCACATGCTTCAGTGCAGTTGGGTAGATAATATGGAGGAGCAGGATAGTCTTGTGCAGCTTCCATGCACTATATGGAATGCAAAAAAATTTTTTTTTTTGATGTTTTTCACCCACCACAAGAGCGTGGTTTCATTTTCAGATTGCTAGTTCTTTGCATGCTGCAGTATATGATATGTGCCTCCGGAAACAAAAAAAAAAGCCCAGATTAGTTCCACTTAGTGAACTTCAAAGGTTCAGTGTTGTGTTTATATGTCTGCACTTGTCTCCCTCCATGTCGGAAAACCCACTTGAATCTCAGATATTGCATGCAGTCTCCATGCCCCATGATGACGACATGGTCAATATGCATGTGTATATTTTGGCCTTAAGCCAAGTCACCCTTTAGTCTGCAGTATGTATGTTATGCAACGGTATTATTATTTAGCCTCGAGCTTCTGGGTCATGGTCTTGTTTGTACACCACCACTCTGTTTACCCCTGTCTCTGGCTGCTAATCCATTCCTCTTATCCTTCATGGAATTGTATGCCATGTCCAAAGCCAACTTGTTATGAAGACACACAAAGTTCATGCAAATCTCCTTCATGTGAAGGGATTTCACTTGCCTGTGCTTTCATGATGTTGTACACAGTGTCTCTGTACTCTAAGCCTGTCCTGTCCGGTTTCTCCTGTAAGCCAGGCATAAAGTGGCGCTCTGGAGAGATGATCAGTTTACAGGCCTGGAGGTAAATTTAAACTCGGGGTTCAAACGTTCCTCAAACACAACTCTCTGTTGTGCATTTTAATATTTGGATGAGATATTATTTTGTATAAATAGAGCACGAACCTGGGTAGCAATTAACTCTCCAGAGCTGTAAATCAATCGGTCAGCCCAGCTGTGAAAATCTTACCTCTCTGTTCACCTTCTCGACTTCCTCCTGTGTGGTGTCCTGTAACTGCTTTTCTGTGATGCTGTTCACTCATTCATATCCCTCTTTCCCACCAGGCCATACTTGGAGGAGCCCCGCAATGTCATCGTGCACAAAGGTGCAGAGCCTCTCGGCATCTCCATCGTCGGTGGGGAGAACGGAGGAATCTTTGTCTCTAAAGTTACTGGAGGCAGCATCGCCCACCAGGCAGGATTGGAGTATGGAGACCAACTACTGGAGGTATGAAGAACCTACTGTCTGTTACAGCTACTAAAGTAGCATAGATAAGAATGTACCGTCAGATGCCTTTATTTCTATATGGCCTCGCCTCCTGGAAAAGCATATTCATTAGCGCTGTCACAGTTCCCAGGATTGTAATACTTGCTGAAATGCATGAATTGAAATGGTGTTTTTGCTGCATATAAACTGGCTGCTTAAGCTGATCTTCTATTGCAATGTCACATCAAGTGGGCGTATACTCTACTTGTGAATGGTAAACAGTGTGAGTAGTTAAAAGAAAAAGACTTGAGGAGGAGGAATGTTTTTAAAGTAAGTGAAGTTATCATACCAGAACTTTTCTTTCTTTCTTTGCTATCACATAAGGTAGCAGACCCACTGGCAGTGCTAATGCCTGTCACTCCCCCTTACATAACCAAGCCATGATCTAAAAACACTGTGCACTTTTCACATGTTTGCAGGGATTCGAGAACATAAAGCAGTGTAAATCCCTTCCAAATCCATTTCTAAACGTATCTGTTATAAAGTAAGACTTTAATGGAGATCTCATTAAGACTGAAGGCAGATGTTCACCTCAGTGGTGGCAAGATGACATCCCCCTGATCTGTAATTCTGTTCAATATAGTTATGATGTGTTGTGAACGACGGAGGTGCGTGCATAAAAAAACCAAAAAGAAATCATAAATATGCATTAGCGACTTTACATAATCACAACAAAGCATGCGTTGCTTCTGCACCTCTGAATTGCAAATAGAGCTACAGATGTTTCAAGGCAAACAATGGCTGTCTGGTCTCTTCACAGAGAATAGAGTATGCACTATTTTTTTTTTTTTTTTTTTTTCCAAGGCTAGGAAAACAGGTGTAAAGTTAATCCTCTGTCAACTCTCATGAGTATCGTCTCCACCAAGCACTACTAATGACTTAAAACTCTTAATAGACTGGGCACATAATGTGTTCATATCTCTCTGTTCTTTTAATAACCCCCATCTCTCCTGAAATTCTCCCTAATCACACTTTTCTTCCTTTATCAGTATAACGGCATCAACTTGCGGAACGCTACGGAGCAGCAGGCTCGTCTCATCATCGGCCAGCAGTGTGACACCATCACCATTATGGCCCAGTACAACCCACACATGTACCAGCTGGGCAACCACTCTCGCTCCAGGTAACAGGATGTTTCTTGAAGAATTGTTTGTAGATGTTCAGTGTGGGGGTTTAGGTTTGATTCTGTGTCCCAGTCGGGCTGCTTGGCTGATTCCTGAATCGGTTCCAGTAAATGTTCCAGTTTAAGAATGACATAGATGTTTTGACAGAGAGGGTTTTTTTTTCTTTTCTCTTTTTTTTTTTGAGCAGTAAGACCAGATGATACATTTTCATTGCCTTTACACTTTTCCAGCTGATTGAACTTGGGGGAAGCTCTGAAACAGCAGTTGTTCATTCAGGGTAAAGTGTAAACAATCAATTAACTGTCTAGCGTTGTATATTCTCTACGTGCATGGGAGAGTCTGACCGCTTGATAAGAATCCCTAAAATTTAGATATTGGATTATATGTAGGCATTGTGACCAAAACATATACTGCTGCATCTTACTGTGCATTTTTTTAAACATGGTTTTCTGTACTACAATTTTTTGTTACCTATTGGACACCAATTTCCGAGTGAGCTTAAATGCAAGTTGATCAAAATTCAAAATTTTGATTTTGATTGACTAATTGGCCACCAACAGCCAACACTATGCTCGATAAAAGTTGCTCTAGATTCTAGATTTTAAAATTTTTTTGGTGCTTGGTTAGAGAATGAATTTGAACCACTGCAAGACTGACGTAGTCCATAGCTCAACTATGAAAGCGTAGACTTTTAGCTGTTAGATTAATACTTAGAAGGGTTGGAGTGTGCAACAGCAGCTCCTATATCATGCACAGACTTTCGGTTTCTTATCAAATCCTTCTCTATTACAGGCTGCTTCTTGCATTACTTTCAAGTTTGACTGTTATTTAAAAAAAGTATGAATAATTAAACTCTCTGACCTGTCCAGATGATGCATAGAGTCATCCGAGTCATTCCTCAACAGTGAAGTACATTAAACATAATGTCTTGTGTAATTTGTTAATCCATGGAGCCAAAACATTTTTTATCTGTGCAGCTCCCGTCTGGAGCCGGTCAGTACTCAGTCGACTCCCCAAGGAAGCGGGGCCGCCACCCCCGACAATCACTCCACCATCGACACACTCAGCGAACAAGACGAGGGCACGCTCACTCCCTCCTCCAAACAGACCACACCCACTACCAGCCCCCACAATTTCATCAGGTAAACATGCGCACGAACATTGATAAAAATGATAAAAGATCTTTTGCTGAATGCTTTCCCCATGCATGTCTCTAACTGACCACTTGTTGTCTTCCAGAATGCCGTCTGAGGGCAGCAGGAAGGTGGGTGAGCCACGGCTCGTGACGGTGCGCAGGCCTGGAGTGGAGGTGGGAGTCGCACTCTGCGGAGGGAACCTACGGGGCGTCTACATAGAGAGCCTGGATGAGGACAGTCCTGCCAGAGGCCCTGATGGGCTGCTGCCTGGGGACCTCATCTTAGAGGTACAGACTCACACACTCACCCTTACTGAAACACACATGCGTCAACACACAACCTGTTGTCTAATTTCATAATACATGTATGCAAACATGCACAAAGACTTCAGCAACTGACTGATATGCTATGCAAACAATGATGGTTTATGTAGGTTTGTCTTTACCACATTTATAATTCTTGAGTCCATAGAGTATTTTTTATTCAGGCAGATGGGTATCTGGAAAGATAGATCTTTTTTACGTGGGACTTTCTTTCATTTCACATCATGCTGTGGATTTTTGTTAGACAGTAAAGAGAAGAGGAGTAGAAGTGATCTCTGAAAGCTAAACTCTTACAAGACGTTCGCAGTCTCCTGACTCTTAAAAAGCCTTATGTGCTGCTGTTATTTCAGACTCGAGCACTGCCAGAAGGCGCTGGCATCTCTCTCTTTTTTTTTTTTTTTTTTTTTTTTTTTTTCTGCCTGTCATTGTTTTTCATTGATCTCCTCCTCGTCTGCGTTCCCTCTCACTCCATATTGGTGATCTATCCAAGAGCACTGCAAACTCATAATAGACAATTCTTGGCATGCTCCCACTTAGCTCTCCGCCACAAAGGGCCTGCTATCTGAATTGCCATGTAGCTTTGTCATCAGTCTGCACAGCATCAGTCTGTCCTTCAATCTCCCATCCTGTTTGTTTTCTCCCTCCAAACATGGCACAAATCAATACTGCGACACTTTAATACAGCTGAAAGCTTGGAGGAAATGTAGCTGTTTGCTAGTGGACCCTTCACAGACACGGCAAATCATTTCACAGATGAGTGTAAACACTCACTAAATTTCTCTGCTCCTCGCCCCAAGTTTGTCTTGTTTTTCATGATTTGAAGTTCACTTGGCCTCTATTCTTTTATTTTCCATTCTCATTCTCTTCTTGCCTTTTAGTATAACTCGGTGAATATGAAGAATAAGACGGCAGAAGAGATGTACGTCGAGATGCTGAAGCCTGCAGAGATGGTCACATTCAAGGTGCAGCATCGGCCAGATGAATTCAGCATGCTCAAAGATGTTCCAGGAGATGGCTTTTATATTAGGTGCGTGTATACTGCATATATATATATATATATATATATATACATACACATATATATATATATACACACACACACACATTACACCTCTCTTCTTATGTGCTACAGCTCTGCAAAAAAGGAACAACACTAACTTTCCCCAAGCAACCTCATCTCTGTCTATGCTGCTATATATAGAACCACCACTGGAGCGGCCCTTGGACAAGTTGGAATCTTTCTCATCTAACCAATTATGTCCCAGATCCACTGTGTGACTGCAATGATGCTAATCACACCACAGATTTAGGTTATCTAATCTCTCTGCTCACTTTACACCAACACTGTGTCCATTTTAGTGCTCAGTGTTTTTCCAAAACATTAGAAATAACATCCTATATGAATGGAAAAAAGAAGCACTAAAATAGTCACGTTTTATTGTTGGGAGTCTGTCTGGGCGTGTTGCCGCAGCTGCCGCAGTCACTTGTCATGTAGGCAAGTGGGCTCGTGATGTCATCTGCAGTAAATACACTCAGCCGGCCGGGCTGTCACAGATAGGCTGCTCGGGAATGACTTACGAGGCTGCAACAGGAGGAAAGCAAGTCCTGTACTGTCGATAGATGAACTCCCACTTCACTTCCTTTCTTACTCTCCTTCTATCTCTGATTCTTTATCTTGTTCCCGTCGCACGTCTCTTGCCTGATACCTCACCTCCTCTCTCACTTTATCAACTTTACGCCCCTCACACCCTCGTTCTGCCCTACTCTTCATAACTCCCCATCTATCTTTGTCTCTCCCTCCCATCAGAGCACTTTACGACCGGGTGGGGGAGGCCGAGGGGGACCTCAGTTTCAAGAAGGATGACATCCTGTACGTGGATGAGTCTTTACCAAAGGGCAGCTTCGGGACCTGGATGGCCTGGCAGCTAGATGAGAACGCACAGCAGATCCAGAGGGGGCAGATCCCCAGCAAGTACATGTGGGTGGTGAATGCAATGCACGCTTACACACATACTGTACATTTTTGAGCTAGTGGACAGTTTGTAACAGCTGAGACAACAATCCGTGCCATACTGCTACGATGCAGGAATCATATCTAATGTCACTCCTCTTCTTCCATACATCTTGGACTGTGCTTTTTCACTTATTGCAAGGTACTGCTGTCTTATTGTGCGTCCCTCTAGAAATGCACTGATGTTGCAGTTTCTGGCTAATACAGTGATTCTGACTTAGTTTCTGTACTTATACTGGGCCTGAAGGGGCAGAAGCCAGTAACAATGAATTCTAAAGAAATGCTAAAGTCAGAAATTTTGTTACTGAAATCCTAGAGTGGAGTCTTCAATAAAGATTTACATTTTGTCCAATCAACTGTGACTCTCTACATGCCCAACCAAAACCTTTGCCCTAACCTTAGTGCAACAAATTGTCTCTTAACATCCCTCATGTGAAACTGTTGATGATTTTAAACTCACTGATGCACTCGCAGCCTTTTTTTTTCCTGTGCGGATGCTCTTCACTTAAATCTGTGTTTTGTGTGAATGTGCGGCGTAGGATGGACCAAGAGTTTTACCGCAGACACAGTGTGACAGAAATGAAGGAAGACTCCAGCAAGACTCTCTCTGCAGCGGCCCGCAGATCCTTCTTCAGAAGGAAACAGAAACACAAACGCAGCAGCTCCAAAGACAGCAAAGAGATGGTGGCTCTGGACGCCATCAGCACAGACTCCATCCCTTTCCTTGATGGTGAGAAGAAAGGGTTATATGTGTTGGAATGAAATCCTCGCTGAAAAGGATATTTGGCTGACCTGTGTGCTCTTTGTGTCAGACTGCGTGAGCTTGGCGTACCAGCGGGTCCAGAAGGTGGAGTGCACCTCTCCCCGACCGGTACTCATCCTCGGGCCGCTCACTGACCCAGTCAAGGAGATGCTCGTGAAAGAGTCTCCTGGGAAGTTCTGCAGATGTGTACTGGGTGAGTCCAGATGTTTGTCTGACCTACAAATCAGGGGAAGGAATCTTTTATCTACGTTCTTAATAGCCGTTTGATTATTGTGCAGTGAAAATAAGACTCTTGGGTTGAAGGAACGGCTGGGTTTTATTTCCATCAAATGATCCATTTACTCCCTTGAGGAATATCCATGCTTTGTCCCATTGGTAATTTTCTTTACTCTTTCATTCTGTCTGTCTGCAGAGGTGATGAAGGCATCCCAGCAAGCCATCGAGCGGGGCGTCAAGGACTGCCTCTTCATAGACTACAAGCGCAGGAGTGGCCATTTTGATGTGACCACGGTTGCTTCTATAAAGGAAATAACAGATAAGGTATTAGCCAGTGCTTCTCTTTCTCATCAGTTTATCAGGAACTATAAAATGGCTTCTGTTTGTCTTTAATCTCTGCCTTTGGTTAAGATAAGTTGTCACTATCGCAGCACTTGGATATCGATGAATGAAAAGCAAGATTCCTGTCGTGAAGCAGTAAGAAACGGTGCATTGAATTAGTTCATCTGTTTAAGTGATGTTTTGTTTTGTTTTGTTTTGTTTTGTTTTGTTTTTTTTTTGGATACAGGGCTGTCACTGTTTGCTCGACATCGCCCCGCACGCCATCGAAAGGCTCCACAGCGTTCACATTTATCCAATTGTTGTCTTCGTCCGCTACAAAAATGCCAAGCAGATCAAGTAAGTTGCAACACAAATCAGGGCAAAGATCTCTTTTCTTTGGAACACACACACACACACACTCACACACACACATACACACACACACACACACACACACACACACACACACACAGACAAAAGTGGTAGCATGGTGCACAATGCTTGACAAATAAAGTCTGGAGTCCTGTGCTAAGACCAGAAGTATGAGGATAGAGATATCTTGGAACAGTGGCACCCCTCCCGTGTGTGTGTGTGTGTGTGTGTGTGTGTGTGTGTGTGTGTGTGTGTGTGTGTGTGTGTGTGCACGTGTGTGCGTGCGTGCGTGCGTGTGTGTGTGAGGATGATGGATGGATGGATGGAGCAGGATAAGCCTTCACACTTTCCATTCTACCATGAACCCTTTGGCGTGTCTACCAAAGCACCCCACTCCACCACACACATAATCCCAAACAGCTGGTGAAACATAATGTTTTTTTTCTTTCTTTTTAAAATAAAGGTTCTCGGTATAAGCGCTGTATCCCTCCTTCACTTGCTGTTTGTTATAAATATTTGCAGGGATTCATCAGACATTATTGTTGTCACATGTTTTGAATATTTAAGTATTAAAGTACCTCAATATTTGATCAACAGTAGTTTGACTAGTTTGAGACTGATTTTCACATTTCTCTCCTCACTGGTAAATATCTAAGCATTCAATGTTCTGAATGATTGAAAACTTAATTAAACACAATGAAAATGTAAGAAAGACAAATGGCCACTGACAATGGATATATGGGCTCTGATCTGAAAGACCATCTCCATCTTTTTTCCTTTCTTATTGTCACAGGGAGCAGAAAGATCCAGTTTATCTGCGGGACAAAGTCTCTCAAAAACATTCCAAGGAGCAATTTGAAAGTGCACAGAAGATAGAGCAGGAGTACAGCAAATTCTTCACAGGTTCGTATGCAATCAAAGCAAAAACCAGCTTAGACCACAGATAATATGCCCAGTATGTGTTTACAGAACAAATAGATTACTTTTATCTGTCAGTTCAGTACTTGTTGTTTTTTATTTATTGTTTTAATGAGTCGCCTTTTCTTTGCAGGTATTGTCCAAGGTGGCACCCTCCCTTACATTTGCACTCAGATCATGACTATAGTTGATCAAGAACAAAGTAAAGTCCTGTGGACTCCACTTGGCTGCCCCTAGAGGAGACTGGCTGCCACTACAGCAAGCTGCAGCTTTCATCTCCATTCCCCAAACACTAATTAACTCTTTCACACTATACCAATAGGTACCCTACAGCGAGCTAGTTATGTAAATTATTGATATTTTTTTATTTATGATTTATAATCAGAGCCTCCTTTATTTCTGATGTACTCCGGAGCAGGTTAGTAGCACTGGATCTCGACGTTAGAGTTCATTGAGTCTTCCCTAAGGGTTTCTGGTGGTGTATTTGTAATGCTGCATTATAAGCATCCGTTTACAGTCAAAAGACGAGTCTGAGTATTGATGTTCAATATTTGCTTGAATGCGTGTCCCTCCCCCTGTGTACACAAACCTCAACACTAATGAAGTTCAGCAACCCCTGACCCACCCGTGTACCAAATGACATTTGTGGTTTCCCTACAAATATGCACCCATTTGACAACGACTGACAACTAATTGTGTGTGTGTGTGTGTGTGTGCGCGCGTGCGTGTGTGTGTGTGTGTGTGTGTGTGTGTGTGTGTGTGTGTGTGTGTGTGAGCGAGAGAGAAAACAGCATTGAGACTGTTGTTCACAATTGTAATGACAATTTCAGATGAGTTGTTTTGTTAGTGTGAATACGATGCTATAGAAATGGAATGCCAGGATCAGACATCACATTCCTTGTGGTGTTTCCTCACAAAAGTGCAAAAGCATCAAACCTCTTGAGGTATGCAGCTGCGTTCTCACGGAACTCGACTGCCAGCAGCGACGGCCATGAAAACTCAAAACACATCGATGTGTGCTCTATGCATTGTGTTTCTATAGTAGCCGGTTGTGCGGACAGTTTATGGGCCTTTCGGAAGTGCCTTCGGAGAAGAAGCCTGATCTGAAACCAGCCCCTGGTCACTTAGCCAGAACATTCAGATGATTTTTGAAAGTTTTTCTTCAAGATCCGATGTAATCATTTCGCCTATCGTGGACTAGATGATTTAGGGGCTGATTTGAGACCAGTACAGTGCATGACAATGGCGAGGTTTTGAGGGTCGGCCGACGCGGCGGCCAACGGGTTAACTCCTCAGAATGCACTCCAGGGCTAGACAGACCACTGTGTAACTATCATTCTATCTCTTTAACATATATTTAACAACAATATAGAGTATAACATATACAATATGCAGATACATCTGAAAAAAAAAAAAATTATATATATTACATGTATTTTCACTAGGTCATACGCCTAGGAACGTCTGGCAGTCAAGTCATGTCTTAGCAGGTATTAGCATGTTTTTTTTTTTTCCTTTAAATTTATTTTTTGTTTTTTTGTGGTTGGTTGTCAGTCACTTATCGATGTACTCATTAAAAGAGACACTATGAAGCAAAATTTGCAGGGTAATATCTTAAAGGATTTTCCTCTGGTCCGTTTAAATGTTAGTGACTTTTCATTGTTATTTAATTGTATTTTTTATTCAGGAGGCAAAAAATATTGACAAAAATATTCTGCCCTTCCTCGAAACCATATCCTGTATCTTAATGTGCCAAAATCCACTAAGGCAACTTTATCCTTTTTATTTCTGTTTTGCACTTGTTTATCTGTGAACCTTAAACATGTAACTGTTCCTAGGTTTTCAGTAGACTATGAATAGGTACTATAATTTCTACTGTAACTAATTCACATTTTATGTATCACATCAGTTCCTTACATTTCATTGATGGCCTTTTTATTCTTAATTAGAAAAAAAAGGATCACTTCTTATTTGAATTATTAAAAAGGGATCTATTCTTGCACAGTTTTTCAAAGGAAAATTAGTCCACAAGTTTGACTATTGGGCTAAAAGAGTAAGCAGAAGCAAACTGTAATGTTACTATTTTTCTGAGTAGATAGCATATGTTATAGAGAGAGACAGCGGGATACAACGTGACTCGGTTGTATTTTTAGAAAGAAGAATCTAGATGCCAGGTACTGATTGAACTTTTCTTTTATTAAAAAGAATGTGATTTGTATGTTGAGACATTAACATGAGAATAAAACTCATTTTCTGTATCACAACATGGACTCGGACTGAATTTTTGTTTGTTTTTGTCACAGTTTCCTCTGGCTGTAATACTGAAAACAGTTTTGAAAAGTGAGATGATTTTTGAGATGCTTCTTTGTCTCCTCTTTTTATTTAGATTAGATTTTAAAGAAGAGAACGAAAGCAGAGCTGACAGGTTTTCTGTTTCTGTCTTGCTGAAATGTGACTTTGTCCCTCTGACGTGTACAAGGATGAAAGTGAATCCATTTTTTGCTGAAAGCATCAGCAAATGAAAGGGCCATCAATTTCTGAGTTGAGATAAGGTAGTGTGACAATATCTGAAGGATCTCGGCCAGAGCGATAAAGATGTGGCCTTGATTCAGCTTTAAAGAAACAGCTGCATCCTTGGGTTTATACAGTTTTAAAGACACTGTGGCTCTGTCTGTTCTTCAGCAGCACCATTGTCATACATCATGTTGGCAGTTAGATGATGACAGCTCAATGTGCGCTGTCACACATTGGACCCAATGTTTTAATATAAGGACAGCACATATTGAGATGCTCTCTTACTAAAACATTGAGTCCATCACACCCCATAAGATAGTTTCTATAGAAGAAAGCCTGAGATAATGCAGGTGTATCAGTCACTTCAATAACTTTTATTTAATCAGGGATCTCATTGATATTAAAGTCTCTTTATTTAATAGAAGAGAGACATTGTATTGTATAACCTTGTAGACCTGGGCCTGTATTTATGAGCACCTATCTTCTGATGAAAGCAGTTTTAACCTTATATAATGTGGACATTTGATAGGATGTTACACCACTATTTCTTCCTATTTCAAAGCCGGCTATGATTTTGTTTCCATACGTTCATTGTCTTCACTTGCCAGTGTGTTGCTAAATTCTCCTCTTTATGATTTATCCGATGTATGTCATTTACCAGCAGAATATTTTCTTAACTGCTCAGCTTTTGCTTTCATTTTGACTCAATTTCCACCAAATCCCTTACATTTAATCACAATTTATTCATTATGAATGTAATAGGTTGTTGTAACCCCACAGGTTGATTCTTATTGGAGATTTCAGAAAATGTGAAAAACCTTTCCAAAATAAAATGTTTGCAGAGAAACAAATTTTTTTGTAAGAAACAAGGATTTCCTTAAAAGAATGAACAATAAAGGCAAGTGTAGGGTGAATCATTGTCTCAATCATTGGCTATTGTTGCTCAGAACATACATGTTTTAATAGTCATGTGATCATTTGAGAATTACTCCTAAATGTTACACTTACTGGGAACATGACAAATATATAAAAGGAAAAAAAAAACTTGTGTTTCTGCAGCATGCTGTGAGAGTTGCGTTCCATGCAGTTGGACGGCCTGTAGCTACACCAGATCTTGCTGGTTGATTGGGTGCCTCTAACTCAAAGGTTCTTTCTTCCGAGCTCCGCATCGGGGGTCACATGGTCCTCTAGCTTATGATGTCACAGTGAATGGCTACCCTCCAGCTGCCTGTCAGGTTCACTGGGGCAAGAGAGCACCCAGTGTCTCCAAAACATCCACTGTTGCCTCAAACTGCCTGAAACTCAGCTGTAGATTAGAGAGAGCACTCATTGTTTGAAACAAGCCACTGTGATGTTAGTTACTTAATGCTTTACAGAGAATATTGCTCATGGTTTCAGTGACTAATGACTTTAAACTACACCTGATATACTGTAGGTGCAAGTCTGCTATGTCATGTCCCAAATTCTTCATGTCCTCCAAGTCTCCTCTTGCCTATTTTAGAAAGGGGTAGGGTCTCCTGCCCTCCTGCTGAGGTGTCTGTTTCAAGACAGCTGCTGACAGCTCGACTGAACTTGAGAAGTCTCAAGTCTGACAGCAAAGGATCTTTGTAGTCCACAGTGGCAAGCCGTGGCCTTTCCCGGCTCACGTCAAATCCCGTTGTCAGAGTGAGGAGGCATGTTTCTCTCTGTTTTGTCCCCTTCTCCAGCATGTTAACTCTAGCATCTCCAAATGTCCCGTGGGATTACCACCTGACGGCTCTCACGTTAATCTCCTCATCTGTCAGCGCTGAGACCCTCCGGCTAAAGTTCTGTCGGCCCACAGGAACCACTAACCCAACAGCTGGCCTTTCTTTTGATCAATTCGAGTCCATTCTGCTGCGTCCAGCATAAACACCGGCAGGATTTATTATGACACATAATGTATGTAGCATGTGCTGCTGATGCTCTCACTCTGTGACCTCTATGGGGGGGATATTGTTGCTTTGGATTTAGGATCTCGCTTGGCTTGTACACAGAGTATGTATGGTGGTAAGATTGATTTTGTTTGAGAATATGCATCATAAATTATTTGCAGATAAATTTGTAATTCTGTGTGAATCCAAAACATGAATAAACATTATTACTCTGAATGGAAGGCCTCCGTTAGCCGGACTTGTGATCAACACCTCACTTATTTCCTGAAGATTTCATCACTTATTTAATAAAGATGAGCATTAATAAAACATTTTTCATCATAGCGAAGCTTTGGCAATCTTGGCTTTATTATTTCCTGACGGATATCACCTCTGTGAATTTTCATTTTTTATGAAGATGTTGTAATATTTGAAAAAAAAAAAAGAGTCAGTGGATCCTGCCATTACGCTGCTGTGGAGCAGCATCATTTGCCTTTAATGTGACAGTTCATCTTTTTTACCAGCAGGAGGACAAATTCAGAGCTTCTGCTCAAGGCCCATCCTACTACTTATCAGGCTGCCTGAACAGTAACAGATCAGATGCTGACAGTGGCATCACAAGGCATAAATAAAGTTTCAAAACATTGTATGTAACATTAGAGCTGAAACTTTTTTGTTCGTCTGATTTTGATTCTTGATGTTTTGCTGCAGGGTCATTCGAAAACAAACTTTTACATGAATGATGTGGAGGGAACTGGGGAACTCTCATATCCAATACACCAGCCAATGGTGGGTAGTAGTGATGTCCTGCACTGCCTCTATTTTATGTGATGTCATAATGCTTGCATAGACATTCATAACCCTGAAGTACTATATTTTACAGATCTCCTTGTCATTTGGTGTTTTACAACTCGACCCCCTCCCAGGTTAAAAGATTCTGTTACAGCAGCTATTTCTGTAGAAGCACTAATATTTCCCAGACAATAAATTACCATCATGGAGCATATATCACGTATCTTCTTCACACTGTACTTAAACATGTTTACTTTTCAAATGATCTGTGCTTGAGATCGAATGTCATAATTCCACATTTGATGGGACATTTACTGGCTTATCTCAAAAAAAAAGAAAAGAAAAGGTTTGGCTGATGTTTGTGAATCATGTTGCCTTCACTTTAAATCAACGCAGAGGGGATAGGAAGCATCAATTGCACTTTTTGAATCAAATCATTGGGAAGGACTTGGGGTGGGGAGGCGGGAAAATTATTGAAAGATTATTGCATACAACCTCCAAGAAGTCTGGAGCCTTGTGACACAGGTGGCTGTGTACACCTGCC